TGTTGTTGTTGTTTTTGTCAAGATGTAACACTTCTGGCACACTTCCCTGGTACAGTCTTGCAGCTGTGACCTGCACTTCCACACTTCGCGTGTGGCTCAAGACGCTTGGGCTAAAGAGGACTTCGCTGAGTGCTTCGCTGACTTCAGGGTTGAGCTCTGTTTGTGTAGACTTCTGAGTTCGTCTACTTTTTCAGTTGTTGGTGGTGGTGGTGGACGAAGCCTGGACCACTGGCATGTCATTGCCACCCATGTTGGCTGGCGAGGACGCGGCTGGGGTAGAAATCTCGTTTGCCATCTCGGCCTGAGTACTGCGCGAAGTTGAGTGGCCGTGTTGACGCACCTGCTCAAGGGCGTTGCGGATGCAGCTGAACTGTTCCGCCACCAGACGGAGGTCCTCACATCACCATCGAATCCATCATAAGACGGTGTCTTTCCCATGTAGCCCAAATGCAAAATTTCACAGTACTGCATGTTGCATTTTGCCCTGTTTCGATTTTGGCATCGACATGGCGCCCCAGAAAAGGAAACCATGAACACCCGCGTACGAGTCCCGGCGTCGTGGGAGTCTCTCGTCTCGACCCATGTTTCTCAAGTAGACTAGACTCTAGACTTTGCGGCCTGCGATCTCCCTTGTCCCTGCAACCAGCCTGAACCTGCACCAACCTTTCGTCTTTGTCCATTTGGTCTCGATGCCGAGCATGCACGATTCAAAAGATCTGCACGGAAAGGACTATTCACGACCGACCGTTGGCGGGCAAGAACACTACTGGCAGTGACTAGTGGAGCCGTCTTCTGCCAGATATCTGATGCATGCTGCCTTTGGCCTCAATCTTCCCCCGCCCCTCCGTGCATCCAGGCTCCGGTTGCCTCGGATCGAGCATCTGCCCATCGTATGGCACGCAGAGTGTGCCAACGCTCCTGCTCGGCACAATCGGTTCTGTGAGCAGCGGGTCATGCTCGTGAATTGTCCTCGACCCATCGATGCAGTGCGGGGAAGCGTCGACTCTGCTCCTCATGGCCACTGGACTGATTCCGATGGCTGCCATTGGTGCCCTACTTCAGAGTGTCCTTTGCGAAGCGGAGCATAGGCCAGGAAGGCCAGTGCTGGCCACGGCATTCCAAGCAAGCCAATGTAGCCAGCAAGGGTGCCTTCCAAGGCACAAAGAACCCCCCCAAGCTTCAATGCAGTCAGTGTGCCCACCTCAGAGCAGCGCACTCTAGGTAGCGCCCTCTCATGCTGTGCGAGGTACTGCACCACCTCCGCTTCGAATCACTGAGCTGGAGTCGCTCGTGGCTCCGTCGCAGGCCTCCATGGACATTGGATACCTGCAAGCGGGATCTGCGCGTCTGAAGTCTCAATTCCGAGCTGCAAGCTGAGCAGCTGAGCTGAGAGCCTGGGAAGAGTGCTCAGTAAGCTGTTCTGGCTCTCCTGGCAAGGACTCTGCTACAAAAGGACTGCAGCTGTGGCCTGGGCTTCCAACTCCATCGCTCCACTTGAACGAAGCATTTACAATCACCTGATCAGAGCTTCAGCGAAAGTGCACGGGGCAGTTCAGGATCATGGTATGTCTGGTATGTAAGGACTTCGCTTCTACGATGTCGATGCTCGTGATTTCTGAGAGAGCCAATGCCTGTTTGCTGAAGGGTCCAGCCGACAGACAGTCGTGCTACACGTGGCCTGGCGATGTCCGCCCAGTTCGAAGAGCAGTCTGGCAACAATGCCCTTTGGCCTTGTGCAGACCAGCAGCTGCACTGCCCGGCTGTTGACATCTGTTTCGACATATGCAAGGTTATGACGGCTCAGCAAGGACGTCGAAGAGCTTCGTCACCCCGGCAGCCTGTAAAGAGGCCGCTGTTGACAATGACTCTACGCTTGCTTGCATGTTTGGATCTGGCTTTGGAACCTTTGTATGACTTCAGGCCATTAAAGGAAGGCTTCCTGATAAGACTTTGCTGAGACGTCTCACTGCCAGCAGTTGGCATGTTGACTCCTCCAACATGGAAGGAGTCCCTTCCTCATCCATGGTCTCCTCGTTCATTTCGACTGCGGTAGCTCCAGCAGTGGATGAGCTTTCGAACCTGTGCTGCGGCACTGAAAGAAACAGCTTACCCGAAACACACCGCTGCTCAGCTTGGCGTCCAGCGTCAGTGTCACAGCTTCACGCCGCCTCACGGCCTCATGACTCAACAAGTCGAGTCTGAACAAGCTTCAGAAAGGAGTGTGTTAGCAAGCTGCACGAATAGTGCTGCCACCAAGAAAGCCAGTGGCCTCCACAGAAGTCTTCTTGGGTTTTCGTGTGCCGGCATCCTGCGCAACTATGGGCAACCCTAAAGACCGGACAAGCAGCCACATCCCAGCAGAGGCGACACGTCACAGCATTAGCCAGGACTAGCCAGGGTATGATAATGCTTCTGCTTCCGTCCCTTCTCGGAAGTCGGGATCCTACTCAACTACGGCAGGGGAATGACAAGTCCTGCGAGGCCGAGTGCATGAGATCAGCCACTCTCGCCAGATACTCTAGAAAGCGCAGGAGGTACCTGCTACTGAGCTGCTACTGGTACAGTCAGGCGGGATAACACAAACACGCGGACTTCCAACAGTTGGCACCTCGAGGAGCCTAAGCCTTCCGAGATCTGAACAGCATCCTCGCCTCAGGTTGTGATGGCCAAGATGTACCAACATCGGAGTTCAGCAGGGTCAAGGCAACGCTCTTGTGCATCTGTGGGTTGGTGGATGGGTGGAAAGGCAATGTTCGGGGGCATAGATTCGCAGTTGCTGCCTCAATGCTGAGCCTCTTCACTTCCTTTGAGTACTTAGACTTAATTAGACGCTCTCATAACAAATTCCATCTAGTCTGCAAGAAGCTTGCACGAGTCTGAGGCGATGGCGGTCACCAGCTTCAGTTCCTGTCACCTGCAATGTGGGCGACACTGGAACTTCTCGAGCCAGACATGCGCTTCTCAACCGGCGACAAGACTCTGCTCATTCCGATCTCTTTCAACCCCACAGATTCAGGTCATGTAATCTGCTCCATCATTGAAAAAGATGTTGTACTCCAGACTTCTTGCCACACTGACAAGGGGATGGGCCTTGGAACTGTCCTCCTCCTCTCGGTTCAGAGATGTAATGGCCGATGACAAGAAGTCCACCTTGTCAGCTAACTTTCACCATATGCCGCTCTGATAGTCAATGTTGGAACCATCAACATCATTTCGCCAAGTTTTCTTAAGGCAGAAAGTCCGTTCCCACTCTCTTTGCGATGTGCAGCCATTCATGAAGGTCAGATGCATCGAGCTTTTGTCGTTGCACCGCTTCACTGGTAAATTCGCGGTGGACGTCGACTTGCTGGTCCAGGCAGAACATCCTTGGCATCACCGTTTCCATGACAGCCGAATCGCTTTGCATGGAATCCAAGCGCAGGGCACAAGAACCATCCAGCTGTGGAGGAACACTTCCACCACGATGTCTCAGCAAACATCGCCTCACAGCTGGCATCTCCGGAAGCATGTAAGCAAAGAACACTTTAAAAAGCGGGCATGTAATGAGATGCCTGTGAGATGTGTCGTCTTGCCCAGACCGACAAAGCCTTACGACACGACCTCCTTGGCTCACATCAACGTATGTCGAATGATCATGGTATGACATGCGTCACACTGCAAGAATGCTCGGTCTTACCAGGCGGCCCATCGTATCGTGGACCGCGCTCACTTGCAGAACTGCCGTTACGAATGCACCCGTGTCATCCCATTGGGGATGCCCCCGGTGCAGAAGGCGCTCAACAGCCTTGCGCAAGAGACTCTTGCAATGCGCATGGGGAGCATGATTTCACTCGGAGTCGAAGCTGGTGCCTCAACATCAGCATACAGGGGCTTCGTCAGGGCTTGGAGTTCTGCCTCAATCTCTCTTGCGCCGGCTCAGGGTGGGAACAGCTCTCTATTGAAGTCTACTATACATCTACGCTGCCTGGGAAAAGAACTTGCCGTAGTCGGGGCTATTTGGATCGGACACGCGCTGCAAAGCCGCAGCCAGTCGGCCCGAGTGACCATTCCTGAGAGCAGCAACCACTCGCACCCATCTCAGCAAGCTCAACCTAGCACCACGACTTGACCTCCTACTACTACTACGACGACGACGACCACTACAACTATGACCTTTGGCCGATTTGACTCCACGTTGCCGCACGGCACATTGCAGGATCACCAGCTCCTCGATGTACAAAGACATGTTCGGGCATGCATTTCACGTGTCAACGACTGCTGCGATGTTGGAAAAACACGCTGCTTTTTTTGGGACAAACAAGCCTATGCTAACGAGTGTTAGCCAAAACTCCTACTGCTACTAAGGTGCAGTGGCCTTTTTTTTGGTCGTAGCGCAAGCTGCGCCCGGCCGGACACCCCGCCCGAAAACTCGATGCCGGTGCCGAGCTTCTGCACCGCCCGAGAAGGTGAGTGCCGGCCGATATCGTGACACCCTGTCAGTCGAAATCACCCTAAGGGCGACTAGGGTCGGTGCTGAAATTGGCGATCCAACCGACATATCTCGGTCGACCGCGAACGCTTGTTCCTACCCACACACGTGTGCTACACAACAAGCGCCATATATGCTAACAACGTGTCAGCCAAACCTGCTATACGACCCCCTGTGGCTCCGCAGCGCGAGGTCAACGCCCTGTGCTCCCTGGCGCGCCCCGGAGACCCGTCGACGAAGTGGTCGAGGACCAGGAGGATGGTCCGGATGAGCATCTGGACCGCGTCGGCCGCCCTGTTGAAGTTCCAGACGCTGGCGGCCGCGCCAAAACACGTGGCGAAGTGAAACCACAAAAGCAACCGTCCCGCAATGGCCGGGGTGCTTGACCGCCCAATAGGCGTTCTGAAGGTCGTGGCCGAACACCAGGGGCCCCTAACCTTCAGCAAAAATTTGTCGCAAAAGGTCGCCAGCTCTGCCCAGGCGCTCCTGGAGCCGGGACCCACTATACCCACTGCGCGGGCGTAACGGCCGTCTGTCCTGGCCTTCCAGCCAGTGCCCAACCAAGAAGCCAAGGAATGCTGCATGCCAGGGGCGGCCGCCCAATAGGGCGGGCCTGGAAGGAGGAGAAAAAAATCCCAGCCGCGGGTGGACGAGACATCGGCGAGCCGCCTCAAAGTACAGCGCCTTGCCGCGGAGGAGTCGAGCGGACGGCGCCACGTCCACCACGGCGGCCCCGCAAGCAGCAGTAAGCCGCCCGCGGTCCTCAGGCGACAAATGATTTTTGGTCTCTTTTTGTAAGGGCGACAACGCGCAAATGGCAACCGTGAGCGCCTCAACGGACGCCTCGGTGATGAAGCTCCGGATGAAGATGGCCCCATCCGCTTGGACCGCCGCGTCGTGGAAGGCGAACAGGTCCAGAGCGGCAATGCCCGAAGGGGACGGAATCGCCAGCCGCGCCGCCCGACATGGGCATCTCTCCAATGTCGCCCGCCGTGGGCTCTCCTCCAGGCCAGGTGGTAGAAGTCCGCCGAGGTCGACATCCTCCAGATCGAGCCCGGCAGCGGCGGCAAAGTCGGCGAAGTCGCTGGAGGAAGCCATGGAGGCGACGAAATGCGACAAAGCTAGGAGAGTGCTGAAATTGGCGATCGAGCCGAAATATCTCGGTCGACCGCGAAGCTTGTTCCTACTCACACACGTGTGCTACACCACACTGGGCACAGCTCCCTGTCCGGCCCAGTCTGCCTTGTGTCAGCAAGCTGCATGCGCTGGATCAACAGGGATCATTGACTGAACCCACTGCTCGAAACAACAAATTTAAAAGAGTGCGGGGGCAATGAGCGTGGCACCCGACAGTTGCGCCGATGCGCGGTGCGCCGATGCACCGCGGTCATCACGGAAGCGCCTCGTGCACCGACGTGCCGGCTGCATTGGCTATGCCGCAGGCTATGCCGACTGCGGCGGCTGCGGCGGCTGGTGCCGCTTGTGCCGGCTGCACCGCTTGCAACCCTGCATGCGCCCCGATTCGGACAGAAAAAGACCGCTGTCGGCCGCGCGCCTCCCCGCAACCGACGAAAAAAGAGCAGCCAGCCCCAACAAACACGAGTGCGCTCGACGAGACGTTTCAAGACACCCTAACCATAGACTGGAAATAACGACTTGCGTGAAATGCACCTACAGGACCCTGGCCCCCCGCCCCACACCCACACACCCACCCACCCACCCCCACCCGCCCACCCACCCACCCACACAGACACACACACACACACAGATATATTATATAAAAATACATACACACACACAAACACAATCAACTTAGAAACGAGATCCCGAAAAAAAGCGAAAGCGATAAACTAAATTCAAAAGGAAGGCCTTATTGAGGACTCAGAGACAGATGCTCCTCCTCATCGACCGCCTCCTGAACAGAACCGCAGTGGGACTCTCAATCCCCGAGAACTGAATCGCCTGGCAGATTTTGGCTCCTCGGTCCACTCCGCATGTTGCTCTCGTTGCCGAAGTTGTTGCAGCACTGTGCTCTTTGGTATAGCACTACCTTGAGCTATCGTAAGCAGGCTGCGCAAAAACCGTCGACATGAACTAGCGACAAGCGTAGCAGACACTTCCACCCAGACGCAAGCCAGCAGTGGGAGTACCGCCAATAAGATCACTTCCATGGAAGCTGCGCTGGCCAATCGAAGGGCTGGCGACGCGTGCAACTCTGCCATCGTCTGCGTATTGTGGCAACAAGTGCCCGAGTGAAACTTGTTGCTAGACAAGCAACTCCTTGTTACATGATGCTTTATGCAGGTGCTGCCCACTGTAAGCTTCATGGTGCTCTGCCTTTGATGCTACTGCACTCGCTTCGTACATCCTTTGTTTCTTTTTGCAATCTCAGCTGCAACTGGCGCACTATCACGCGTCGCTTAAGATCTCTTTAAAGCACGTGCTCGTGCTTTTCAGGTACGGGCGCTTTTTCTGCAAGACCTGTCTTGCAAAACGTGCATGCGTACATGTACCGAGCGACGCTAACGCCTCCTAAGCCCAAAGCGGAACCGCGATGAGCCATCTCTGACTGCGACACAGAGAGGGCCAGCTGGGTGTCTTGCAAGCGTTCTTTGCGAAGCTGACGTTTGTCCTGACTGCATGGCCTTCCAGCTTAACTGCTACCGTCGGCTGCGGTCCTTTCTTGACCAAGTCCACGCTTTCCACCAGCGACAGGATCGCATGCCGCTGGGTATGCAGGCGATTGAGGTGGGACCTGGAGCGCATTCCATTTTATGAAATCTGATTGCCAGATTCTTCAGTAACCCAGCAACACCGAGCCACGCGCGCAAAGACAGGCAGACGGAAAGACAACAAGGCATCCAGGCAGACAGACAGCCAGACATAGACTTGGACAGACCGAGACAGAGGGACGGACTGACGGAAGCAAGGGCAGAGGAATAAAGGGAGTTGCAAGTGTCATCAAGTTTCAACAACTCCCGGGATGAGGGGAGACGGCACACGCAACGAAAACGAGGAGTAAATGCCAACTCGACTTGCTTTTACTCCTGGAGCCAGCCCCGACGTGCCAACATTGATCTACTCCATTCTACTCCCAAGTGACTCTGTTGTGAACATCTGTTGTGAAACACCCAACTGGCAGGAAATGCCGCCTGCAGAGCTGAGTTCTAGTGATTCTTGTGACGGTTCGCATCGTGCCCGGCACATCGGCCCGAGAATCTAAGGCATCGACTTCAGCAGAGCTGGCTCTGACGGCAGAGTTTCAATGCCCAGGATGATAGAAGCCAGGGAGGCTCGATCTGACAAGAGTCATGGCAGCGGCAGGAGGATTCCGGCCGTGTCCGTCAGCCTCGTAGCTCTGGACGGACTTCAATCAGGACACAGAGCCGTTCCACCTGTCATCGAAAATTCGACTTCAACAAGGCTCTCTGAGACCATGGGGGGTCCAGCCCACGTCTGGAAGAAGCTCCGCATGGCATCCGCGACGACCGGTTCAACGCCAGGGCCCACTTCCTACTGAAGCTTGCAATGAGGCAATGAGAAAGAGCGAAATGGAATCCTGCTTCGCTGCCACTGACATGTCTCGACCATTTCGAGTGCTGAAAGCCGGGCTCCTCGGCAACCAGCCAATGCGTTGCCTCACATCTCGTGGATACAAGAGGGTTACGGCTGTCTGAATGCGAGCTACGACCAGCGGCGCTGCACAGATTGGCAGTTTGGGAGCGTTGCTTTCTTGAGCAGGAATGTGCTCATCTGGCTGAATGGGGCTGCTGACACCTGCATTGAAGTATAAGTTGCAGACAGTTCGCGAAGTCATCACGGCCCTTTGCAGTCCAAGGCTCTGCTAGATCAACGAGGACATAGAATGCAAGCAGCGGCCGTGATAGCCAACCTAGCCTGCACGACTGAATTATTCGCTCTTGTGTTGACATCGGTGGCTCGCAGCTTGCTCCTTCGTTTTCGATTGATTTGCAGCTTACATAATCTGCTTCATGGGCCATTCATCTGGTGGCTAGACTTGGGCTGCGCGAAGTTCCAGCCGCATCACACGACACCTCCCAAGAACGAGGCGCTGGCACATGCTGCGCTCCCGACTCACCTACAGTAGACGGAGACAGGGATTTGACGCGAGGAGCAAAGGCCGCTGATGGCCGCGGGGCCGCTGCGAGTTACGGCGGCTACGGCACTGTCCAGCCTTGAGCGGCGGGAAGTGTCTCAGCCAGCTTTGCCAAGCACGCCTCACAATTTCGCACATCGAAGCCAGGGTCACACAGCCCCTCTGAGAGAGTGTCAGCGCACTCGAGTAGTGATCCCGGACGCCTCCAACTCTTCCTCCAGCTGCTGATCCAGCCCCGATACATCGCTGGAAACCTGCTTACAAGTCCCATGCCGTTTCGTGCCTTTGCAGCAATGTCCAGACTCAGGGCTGATCTGCCTTGGACTCAGATTCCTCCTCTTCCTGCAAGAAAGAATCAACACTACGACTCCACCACTCTGACTCCATCCCATGGGCTGCCTGCACAGCCGGCTTGTCTCTAGTCTCGAGCAACTGTCGCAGCTCCTTTCAGAAGAATCCACGACAAACCCACGGATCCGATCGTGCGATCCAGTTATCCTCTACAGCCGGCACGGTTGCACTGTTCTTGCCTTGAACTGTTCTGCAATCCGAACGGCCATTTCAACATGATCTCCTGAGCAAGTCACTCTTCTGCAGGGTCCATTGTGCGACTGCCACATGCAGCCGCGATGGAAACAGCCTTGTAGGGCCGGGAAGTGGTTCAGTAGCTGCCAGCCTTTCCAACCGTCTCCAGCACATTTGCAACGAAAGATGAGCACTTTTGAGTTCCAGGCTCAGAGCATAGTCGTTCCTGACAGGTCGGGATATCAGTCGGCTTAGATAGAGCCTTCACCAGCCTAAGCCCATACTCTGACATACACCAGCATGCAGAGATTGTGCAGCCAAGTCTCATCTTCAAGGAGCGCTGCAACAGCGTAGCTGGACCTATGCATCTGTAGCGAACCAAGAGTTGTCGACAAGCTTCCAATTAGGATGCTACAGCATCTTCCTGCAGGAGCGCAGCATGCCAACATGCGCGGAATGAAGGTGGAGGGCAGAAGTGATAAGGGCACCTGGCACGTCATGTCAGTCGATTTGCGAAGTACACGTCTTGTTGGACCTCCATGGGGGTGCAGAGCTGGCGCAACGGATGGAGCTCACCAGCCTCCCGAAAAGCCCAGCAGGCCCCAGAGCAACATGGCGAAAGGTGGCCAGCCTCCAAGCCTGAGACTCCCTTCCCAGCAGCCCCTTCAGCGGCTGCACCTTCACAGGGCGTCAATGTTTGCTTGCGAGGTGGCCGTGCCTGCCTTGGAGACCTCCAAGAATGTCCATGTCTCCAACGATGACCGCCCCCACCGCCGCAGCCCACTCCCGTGCGGTGCCCTGACAACTTTCTGCCGCTGTTCAAGCCGAAATCTCTCCAACACTTGCGCTTAGACTCAGACCACATCCGAACACACGGCTTAGTCTGGCTAGCTCGCCTCTGCTATGCCAAGATCCCCCGTGCGCTGCGAAGGTGCTAGCGACACGAAACCACCGGGGACCGCGAGCTGCGAGTAGATGATGTAATCCTTCGCATTGGTGGGGATGTGAGGCCAATGCTGAAAAGAAAAGCTTGCGAGAGTCCTTCAGGCATATGAAAATGCGCCAAATAGTCTCCTAGCCAGGGGTGCCATTTCTTGGTGCGCACAAGACGTTCGAGGGCATTGCACAAGGCCTGTGCAAAAAGCTGGAGCTGTTGGATCGTCTCAAGCTCAGCACTCGGTCCAGAAGCCTCAGACAAGAGCCAGGCACTCCAAGCACAACTCAGCCAGCTCAGACAGAAATCGAACAGGCCGCGACTGCCAGGGGTTGAAGGTGATGTCGCAGAAGGACAAGCAACGAAAGCAATACGCCAGGCGGCACCTCACATACGAGCCAGTGTAATCAGCTCGGACAGGCGTGCAGTTCAGACTCTCGGCTTCCTGCCAGAAAGTTTGCCGCATGGGCTGCATTGGGTGTGGTGCGAGATGACGAGAGGTGATGATGCCTCAAGACTTCGTAGCTCATTCACGACGCATCGCGCAGTTCACCAGCATTACTTTCGATGCAACGAGACTGCAACCTGCCTGGCGAAGCAGAGGGAAGAGATGAACAAGAAGACAGAAACCTCAGACAGCGTTTCGCGTCACAAAGTAGCACTGCGAAACCCTCAGACCCATTGACTACGATGTCCGGGGTGGTCTTCAAGTGGGGACATCCCTGCCTTCATGTGGTCTCGCTCGATAGAGCTGATCAAGCCTCAGCAAATGCCGTCTTGAACTTGCCATGGGGAAGTGACACGATGTACCTTGTGATAACGTGTGCAAAGGCTGAAGCTGTCCAGCTCGTGGATGCCATCCTCGATGACCTGTGCCGCTGCAAGACAGCACACAATTTCAGGTGCAGGCTTGAGGCCTTGTGGCCGGGCAGTGCGCCTCCAGTCTCTGACCTCAGAAGCTTCAAAACAGCGCAAGGTGAGGCTGCATCTGGTGCAGTGCATCTTAAGGCCAAGGTGATGGCACTTGATTTGAGGCTAAGACCCTCCCTCCACGCAGCTTTCAACAAGATACATCGCACACCGAACCTGCAGTTGCTCGCTGGAGAGTTGTTTTTCAGCAATGGGGAACACTGTAAATGGACCAGGCACGGTGTAGTAGCACCGCGCCAGGTCTAGATCATAGGAATGCTCCAGGGCTGCTTGGGCCTTCAAAGCGTGAAGGCACGGGCAGAAGAGTCATCAGACAGTGCAGGCATTCAATGCCATAAGCATCGGGAGAGATGAGGCATGACGAGCTGCAGGAAAGTTTTCGGGAAAATGTCGGCCTGTCGAAGCTGGGGCAGCGAATGCCTCGAACACGCCAACATCACATTGTCACACTGTGCCACACTGTGCCAATCTGCCATAATGCGCTGCTCTCCAGCTGGTCTTGCAGGCGCTGTCGAACTTGAGCTGCCAAGAAGCAAGGAGGAAAGCAGCGTGCGGCTGTCCACCAAAGGGAGGTTGGGACGCATGACATACAAAATGCCTGTGACTCAGGAGCGAGCTGCAAGGAAAGAGGCTGAACCGCAATTTGATTTGAGGCCACGAGTAAGCCCAGCACTGTGGGACGTGACTTGGTCCAGGACATCCGCTGCCTCAAGGTGCAAAAATGTGCAAAGCATATCAAAACATCACGGAGCTTGCAGGAGAAGACCTGAGCTTCGGGCAACCTCGACCTGCGACTCCGCAGCCTCCTGCACCTTCCCAGGGCACCCAGACTCGACAGTCTGCGACGCTCTGAGGCTCCGTGAGGCCTCCGGCTCGACGGCCGGCGAGTCTGCATTCCGGTCATCCTAAGCTCGCGAGGGCCGCGAGGGGAAAGGCACAAGCCACCACCACTGTGGCCGCACCTGCTCGCGAATCTCCTGCTCGCGATGCTTGCGCCTGAGATGGGTTATGGAAATGCCATGAGCGAATTGTAGAAGCCTCTGCAGCCATCGTTCCGAGTTCTTCTTGCCACCGAGCCTCTCCTTCAATCTCTTCTGCTGCTCTTGCCGAACCTCCATTCTGGGACTGCAGTGACATGCTGCATGCAATACAGTTCAGTAGAGGTAAGTGTGTGATAACATGACGGGAGCAACGAGGCAACAGTCCATATTGTCTGCTGTGTCTCGCTGCGACAGTTGCCCAGCAACCCTCGCAAATTGCGCCTGTCTCCTTTGCTGCTGCCTCACTGCCACGCGGGCAACACGCATGCACAGTTCTTGTAGCCCTGGCCGGACCCGAATGCTGTGCTTGTAGTGCGGGGCCCAGGCTGGGAAGGTACAGAAGCAGCCTGAACATATCTCCGGACTCACACACGTCATGCGTGCTGGTTCCAGACAAGCTTCCATTCAACCAGCACGCCTGCTCTACGACCACTTTCGAGATCCAGCCGGCAGCGCTGAGCCGATAGTTCAGCACCTGCTGGCTTACACTCGCGACTGCCACCAGATGATCAGCGCCAGCGTGCTGTGTGCGAAAGCCTCAACCCAGAAATCGACGAGGAGGTCGCCCACCTGGTGGCAACGTTGCACATTGGGACGACGACTTCTTGGTTGCCGACTTGGGCGCTTCTGTGTGGCAGACGCAGGTTGATAGATCAAAGCGTCTGCAGTATGCGTTGGACCATGACGACCGGCCGTTCTCGTGTCCGTGTTCGCGCATCTGGGTCTGTGTCTTTGTGACTGCCGATCGACTGGTCGTAAACGGCTAGGCTACTACTGATTGAATACCGCGAGAATTAATATGGCTCCCTCCTGTTTATTGCTCGGATTGACAGGTGCGGAAGAACTTCCGCTGCCTCTGCTCAGAGGCTTCAGCATTATGGAAATTCATCGCTGCTGTTCAGTTCATCCTCGGATGGGATCAGGGGTTCAGGACACTGTGGCCTGGTTGTTTGCAGACTTTTGCAGGATCGGTTCAATCCACCGCCCACAGGCCTACTCTAAAGCTGATGCTTTTGCCGTTGTCAAGGATGTCCTCTGTGTGGAGCTAACTCTTTCGCAGTCGCCCCACCTTGGTGCTGTCTCGCAGGGTTTCCTGCGTGTAGCTCTTCCACAATGTGTCGAGGAGCTGCTGGAGGCTTTCCACCTGGCAGTCTGCTGCAAGACCTTCGAGCCTGAGCAGCCTGGGCACATGCTGCGACATCATCCAGCAACAAAATGGCGCACATCGCGGCGGAACTCCTCCCAGCAAAGCAGCACGACCTCGCTTCAGTCAAAAGCTTGCTTGGACCGTGTCAAACCGTGCGATTTTTGTTTTTTTGCGGCTTTATGCTGAATGCAGAGGCCTGGTCGCATCCCACAGCCATGTCCGCGGCTCTGCCCCCTCTGGCCAGACTTCGCTGAGTTCGGCCCAAACGAGAGCATGATATTCATTCAACCACGTAAGCTCGGCTGGGGACAGAAGCGACACTTCCACAAGCTCCCGACACATGGGCACCAAAGTGAGGCACTCAAACTTCAGAAAATTAGCCATCTTGTAAGGCATCGTCGCAGGCACTGCCAGAATGTCCGACTCGATCCGCACCCCGAATTCCCCCTCCTTGTAACAACCTGGTTCGTCAGACAGAAGAGATCCAGCAACAATCGGCTGTAGAAACAGTCGCCGCCGCCTTTCACTCGCGAGAATCTGATCTCCAGGCACACTGCCGCCGCCGATCTGGGCAGGTCCTTCATGGACGTTCAGGTATGCGCCAATGCCATGACCTGTGCCATGACCGTACTGCAGCCCATCTTGCCACAGCGGTCCCCGTGCGTAGGCATCCAACAGAAGACCTGGAGTACCTTCTGGGAAGACGGCCTTTGCCAAGGAGAGGTGGCCTTGCAGTACCCTCGTGTAGATGCGCTTCTGCTCAGCGCTCGGATTTCCGAAGTGCACCGTTCGGGTCACATCTGTCGTGCCGTCCTTATACTGCGCACCGGTGTCAATCAAATAAATTTCTGACTTCTGAAGAACCTTTGAGTTGTCACGTTCGGGCTGGTAGTGAACCACCGCTGAATTTGAACCAACGGATGAAATCGTGTGAAAGCTGTCGCCAACGTACAGCTGCTGCTTTCGGCGTAATTCCTGCATCATTTGGCAAACGTCGAATTCAGTTGGAGGGGTCTCATCCTGATTTGGTCTGCACAGGGTACGTCGAAGCTTCGCAAAAAGCTCACAAAGAGCAATGGAATCGCGCTTGCAAGCCTTTTTGATACCAGAGATCTCCACAGCATTTTTGCTCGCCTTGAAGCGCTCGATGGGCGAGAGACCATGCACCCGTAGCTCTGGCTTCACCATGCTCAGAGTGGCCAAAGAACAGAAAGAGGAGTCAAGGAATACCTTGTCTTCTGGGCCTAACTCGTTGGGCAGCTCATCGAAGAAGCTCATGTATGGCCTCACAGTCACCCCAGCTTCGGCAAGGCTCGCCTGGACTTCTGCACAAAGTCCGTTCCCGCCTTCCTCGACTCCCCGAAGAAAAAGTAGAACTCGATCCGGAAAGATGGCAGCATACGAGAAGAACAGGGGGTTGTACTCAATATCCGAGCCTCTGAGGTTAAAAAGCCAAGCGATCTGGTCCAGCGCGCTCACGACACACACGTTGGCACCCTCTTTGTCAACTGCTTCCCGCACTCTTCGAATCTTTTGCGGCACTGATTCACCTGCCAAATCGAGTGGATGTAGTTCCACCGGATTGCAAGGGTCGTCTGGCCGTGTTGTCCAGATAGCATCGACGAGGTTTGCCTTGACTTCTTTCAAGCAGACATGAGATCCCCACTTCGACGTCCATTCCTTCGCAACTTCCGCAGGTACAAATCTTGGATCGACTCCAACACATTTGCCATTTAGATTGGACCGGACCCAGTCCGCCAGAGAGGGGACGGAAGGTTGGAACTGACGCATTAGCACCCACTCTGTACCTCAGACGTCGCAATCACTCGAGATTCGGCGAGGGCTCCGGCAGCTGCGGCCAAGCTGCCTGCCAGCTGCTTCTCTGCCTGGAGGAAGTAGCGGCTGTCCGTCCACAGCAAGGCTTGTTTTTCTGTCACGATGGCGGAACCTGTGCAACGATAGTCATCGCCAGCATTTAAGCATGCACAGGCAGAGAACAGCTGCCTGCCTGCACTGCCCGAGAAGCCCGTCAGAAAGCTCCGGCGCTCATCCGCAGACGCGACATACTCGGAGCCATGTGCATCCTCTGAACGGGCATGGACATGAGGAGAGAAACCGTAAGGGCGGAGACCCAAAATTGTGCGGCTCATGTCTGTGGGCGCCAAACCCACCAGCAATAGAAGAGATCGTCTACACCTTTCCATTTGCGGAGCCTTCGAAGTTGGGGCCTGGATCCACAACGGCTGGCGGGGGAAGGGGCTCAGGAATCATGTCCAGTATCAGTATCAGGCCTCAGCATGCCTCAACCCTGAAAATGATCCCCTAGCGTCACGGTGCCCTGCCTCGCTTGTGACAATATATGCGTCCAGCTCATGTGCCTTCAGCAAGGCGCGCAAGCCTTGCAAGCGGTCGGCGCTGCCTTTGGGATCGCAGTCATCGCAGAAAGGCTTGCCAGGACGGTAGCAGCACGGGCAGTGCCTGGGCTGAGCGTGGCTGCGACTGCGATCATGGATGTCAGACGCAGCAACCAGTCGTGGGAAAGCAGTTTGGCAACGCGCCCTGCTCGCTGACTCTAGCTGCTAAATGCTGCTAAGTTTGAGTCGAAGCGCAGTTGGAAATGAGACGACAGGTCAAGCAGACCACGGCGGCGGCGTTTCGATACACTCTGAGCCATTGGAAACAACTACCAGCTGGAAAAAGGAAGTTGCATCTTTGGGAACGATGCTCGCCATATGATTCGTAATCGCAGAGGCACAGACAGAAGTGACAAAGCTTGCTTTGGCCTTGGCAGGTTTGGGGACCTAAGAGATCTCATGGGTTTCTGCGTTGTGGCGCACTTTGAGCCGAATCCACACACTGCCACCAAACTTCCGCTGCACGCCTCCGCGAGGGGGTGGCTTTATCCGGTCACTCCAAAGGCTCCAGCCAATGGCTTGAGCTGCGGGAAGGGGGCCAGCAGCCACGCAGACGTGCAGAAGTCACGTTCTTGGTACAGCAAACAACAACGCGAGCATCTTCTGTAATGTGCACAGATCAGTGTGCAACTGTTGCACTAAGCCAAGTGCTCTTGATGAAGCCAGAGGCGGTCTCCATGACGTATTCTAAACCTGCTTCATAGGCTTAAGTTCGCACACTGGGCAATCGCAAGTCTCAGAGAAACACGGATCGCAAAAAGCTGGCTTCAGATGGGTAGCAGTGGGTGCCAGCCACCCTGGTGAACTCGAAGTATGCATCCCAAAACGTGATGGGTGGCTCCTGCAAGGTTATCATGCTATGTTTTGCCAGGCTCACCGTTCTGCTAGGTTTTGTGCTCAATTGGTGGATGCTTAACCAGGTGTCAGCTCGGCTTCGCACATGCTGCGTTTGAAACTGACTTCGGACTGTCTTCAATGTGTCACAGTATGGCAATACTATTGGAATCTCAGCTTCGAGATTGGCTGAGGAGCTGCCCTGGCACTGGAACTCCTTGAAGCTGTACATGGCAGGGTCCAGCAGCTGAAGCAACTCAAAAGCCTGCAGTCTCAATCAGTCTTGCCAGAATGGTCCCAGCGATGTCTGTAGCATGCTTGGGCTGCCACAGGTGGCAGGGATGCTTGCGAAGACTTTAGCCTCAGCAGCTTGTCCTGCAGCATCATGAACGGCTTGGCACGTGGGAGCCAAAGTTTCAAGAAGTTCTCTTTTGCGTTCCAGCCTCCAGGCTGCTGAACAGTCGCAGCGCAGAGTGCGAAGTGCCAGAAGTGTGCGCCAGGAAAGCCTTCTCCACACACTTAATTACCACCTTTGTGTCCGGCCAAGCTAAGCACCTCGTAGATCTTGGTTCGGTGCAGAAATGCCTGTGTGGCTTGGCGAATGCATAGCCAGCGCTGTCGGGAACCCTGAGCCAGGGCTTCGGCGTTCCGGGCGAAATCCAGCGGAGCTTGGCTGTGCTCCTCACAGAGCAAAAGCCGGCCCGGCTCCCGCATCTGGACGTAACGGTGCGCCTCCCATGCCTCTGCCAAGCTCCTTTGCGAGCTCAAGCTCAAGCAACAAAGCACCCTTTCAGAAGCCATCCGAGGTCGGATCCGGTCGAGTCGAGCATGTGCTTCTACTGCCACATCTTGGTCGAGTCTGGGCCGTTCCTGGCAAGCACAGAATAGACGGCTCCGGCTCCACCATGAACTCCCGAGTTCTCGGAAGCTCACAAGCTTACCATCGGCCCCGGGAGGCGCATCGCCCCTGCGAGTCCACTGCGTCGCTCTAGAAGCGTATACAGCTTTTTCGCTGTCTGAGCCTGATCTGCTTGAGAAGGGAGGAGTAGTGCAAGGCCGAGGACCTGGATGAACCTTGGTGGACCAGCGAGTGGCCAGGTGCCGAGCAGAGCCATGAAACCACTTTGTCACATCCGAGCGACTGCCAGCAATCGACTGTCCAGTCCTTGACAAGTGCCGGAACTGAAAGTAGAAGTATCTGAGAACAAACCTACATCCCATATGCATTGCAGAGGCCATGACCCCGTGGAAGCTGACCCGAAGTGCGAAGAATGATGCCTCAAAGACTCGGAACGATTGTTGAAGAATATGTAACGCAACAACGCAGTATCCTTACAACACCTGTGCTTGCTCGACCCCCGTGCCTGGCTTCCACTAAACGACGAAGATGGTCCCAGGGCTTCAGGGCGGCGCTGCCTGCGAGGCATCAAGACCTTTTTGAGGCAGGGTTTGAGGCAGGGCAGGCAGAGGCGGGATCCACTGGCTCTGACGCCTTCGGCTGGCAGTGCCTGGGTGAAGCTTGCCGCCAGAGTACGCGAAGCCGCAGCAACAGCCTCAGCGGCACCGGTATTACGGTTCCTTGGGGGCAACCCCGCCGATGCAGCCGAAGCACAACCTCTCCGATATCGCCTTCGCCCCCTGCGCCAGTCGACACCTCGGATGGCAGCCTGGATGTTGCAAAGAACCCGGCCAGGAAGCTCAAGCCACTGACGGTGCCATCGCCGGCCTGTCGGTGAACAGGCCAAGCCGCTGCAGTCAGCACAAGTTTCGACTGCCTCGATCCCTGGCACTGTAGACAGGCTTGCTGTCGAAGTAGCCATGGAAACAAGCGCCTGCTTGCCCGAAAAATAAACGTGCATCTCAACCTCAGGCCTTTCACGCTTTCTGGGTCAACACGTGGACAGATCACCTGCAAACGTCCGTGTAGCGCCGGTGTTGGCCGCACGTCAGAGACGACGACGACCTAAGCCGGATTGAAACCGTCACGGCTTGGAGGAGATGTTTGTCCGTGGGCTTCCTGGCGAAACTAGGAAGTTTCCTCTATTAGGGTGGCCTTACAGGGCAACCCTGTCTTACGGGGAGCCGCGCTTAAGAACGAAGCAGACATCCTCTTCATCATCAATTTACTATGGCGCTTACATACTTCATAACACCACTAGAAAAGCTTTCATACCTTCAGCTTTGGCAAGAAACCCCCTAATTCCTGCAAATTTGTATTACGGAAATCTCACTATGAAAATCTGGATTTCTCCCATGTTTAGCTTTGCTCACTGGTGTTTTCCGCGCAACACGATGCTCGCACGAGAGGGCTTTTGAAAGCATTCAAGTTCGTATGGTTGTAATTTCAAGCAAGCTAGCCTGGTACGGGAAGCCCTTGTGAGCAGCCCCAATAGGGGCGCCTTTGGAGGGGCAGAACTCTCATGCGAAACTTTGGAATGGATCTAAATGCAACTGCCCTGCAACACGATGCTCGCACGAACGATTGGGAAAGTATTAACATGGGGAGAATGCGCTTGAAAGCAAGCTAGCGTAGGGCGCACCCGCCCCGCCCTCGCCCCCCCTCCCCACCCACTCCCGCCCCCCACTTGCAGCGGCCTCTCACAACATTCAGAAGTCCTCACCGCCTTTGCGGCCTTCCATTTCTGACGGCTCTACCTGTGCATGGGTAGTTCTCTAAATTAGGGTCCCTTTTGAGGTCCCCATTACAATAAGCATCCTTATAAAAGGACCCCCGAAAGGGATCCTAATTTAGAGAACTACTCGCACGTGTGAGCGGGTGGTTTTGGGAACTTGTTGCAGGGTTTTGTTTTACTTGGAGAGGGTGCCGTACATTCGGAGTGATTTTGAACTCCTAAACTTAAACCATTACACTCTTAATTTTAAACCGTTTTAAGGAATATACCGATTTTGCAATGCTGCAATACCGCGGCACCCGGAAATGTAGTTAGAAAGCACCCGTGGCATAGAAACTTGACCGGTGAGCAGCCCATGCTTATTTCCCACGCAGCCACTGTCAAGAGCCGGGCAAGCTTGCTTCAAAGCACAGCCCATGTGAATCCTTTCCAAACCCAGTGTATGAGCATTGTGGCCCGCTGGAAGTCCCTGTAGTGTTCAGAGGGTTGAGGGTTCGGGCCAAAGGTCTAGGAACTTTAGGACAACTTTTGAGATCCAGCTTGCTGGTCTGGGTTAAACGATTCAACCATGGAGTGCAGGACAGCTATAAACAATAACGACAGCTCATCATTCGTACTTTGTGAATAGTGAGGAGTGGTTGCTGATTCTCGACGGGTCTAGAGTCTAGCGCGCACCGCACCCGTCAGGCTTCATGACAACTCATGAGGGTTGCCCTACTTAGTTCGGTCGTTCCTGTTTTCCACCTGGATCCTTCTGTGTCTGGCTGTTCCCTTCCTTCCTCCTTCCTTTCTTCCTTCTTTCCTTCCTTTGATCTTCCTTGCTTGCGTTCCTTCTCTTTCCTTTGCTTCTCGTTTGCTTTGCTTCTTCCTTCCTTCGATTCTTCCTTCATTCCTGCCATCAGAAAAAGCCAACAAAAATCTGTTAACCTTGAGAAGGTCACGGTGGCTTTCCGGTAAATGCTCAGACGAGAGCCAGCAGAACGCTAAGCAGCTCAAGCCTCATCCAGCACAACTGACAGACATGACCTGTGCAAGCCTGTGGAGGGCACAGCATGGAGCCGAAGCATCGAAAGCGTGTGCTGAGGCCTGGACAGAGACTGGGGGCAGCCAACAGCATCGTTGACCTGTTGGGGGGGCCAGCCTGGTTTACAACAGACTCTTGGACTCTTCAACGAACACGCGCAGCTTGCAGTACCATAACCCCAAGACTTGTCACCATCGTCTTGAAGCACCAAGGCTGGCAATAGAGCTGCAACCAGCAAAACAGGTTTCAACCAATACAGCACAACATACCTGCTCGAAACATCTCTTCAACTGCTTTGAAAGATGATTGTGGCCTCTATGAACTTCAAGTATCGCCAAGCATCAGACTTGAACGACTGCAGAAGCCTGCTTGGGCCACTTCACATGCAAGATCATAATGTCGCCTTGGCTAGGAGCCGGACGCATCTGCAGTTAGGCCCAGATACCTTAAGAGGAGAGGCAAGTGGAACTCGTGAAGGGGAGTACATTTGGCCAAGCTTGGAGTTCCTGTTCGCCTGAGCTTGGCCAGGATGCATTTGTTGAATGCGTCTTGCCGTGGGTAGTGCCGCCGCACAGCCCTGATCAGTCACGGGCACCACGAAGAAAAGGCGTGCGCGTATTTTACAGCATGTGCAGCCCCAGCCGCCGGGGGTGAGAGCGAGAGGCAGATGCAACGACCCAGCAGCGGCTGGCTGCGACAGAGGTCGTAGAGCTGCTGCACAGCAGCCTGAGGCTTTGAGATTCCAAGCCCCTCCACCCGACTTTTCACCCGCCTTGCTGAGGCTCTTCGAAGCACTAAAGAGCTCGATTTGCTCTTGTCGCTGGATCGTATGACCTCGACATTCGCTTCGTCCAAACTCGCCCGTAGTTTGTCACGACTCTGAGTTCGCAGCTTGTCAGGAAGTTCACGAAAGGAGACACCTGGCGCCAACGTAGGCCACGAGGCAGGGAGGAGTGCTCCGTGCCGCCTGCCCTCATGCCACCCACGCCTGGTTGGTGACTTGTAGCAGGGAAAGCGCTGGCAGCCTGGAAGCCGAGAATGGGCTTGGGCTTTGGGCGTGGGCTTTTCGCGGCTCCCGGCTTGAAAGTGGCAGGCACTTGCAGCTCCGCGGGTTCGTCGACCTGGCGCAAGGCAAGCTGCAAAGAAGCTTGCAAAATCCATGGGAATCAAGTCTCTCCAGCTGCCTCATCCACGCTGGTGGCGCAAAGGAGGCCGGCATGATACCTTACAGTCAAAAAACTTATGCCAGAGCTGGCACCCAGCACCAACTCTCAAACTTGCGACTCTTCATGATGCGAGCTGGATGCTCCCTCAGCTCACTTGCCACCTCAGCTGTCAGCACCTGCGAAGGACAGCTTTGATCTGGAAGTATAAATTCAGCAAATCTCTACATTCTGGCCTGGGAATAGATTGCAGCTCCATCCAAGAGCGCATGCGCAATGAGCACATCGAACTCCAGATGCTTCACCTTCAATGCGTCTTGCGACTGCTGCACGTGCAGTGCAGAAGTGCAAATGCCAGAGCCGATTTTCTTGCGATGCAGCAACCTAGCTTGCTTCGTGCAACTCATCATGTTCACACGCACATCCCAAGTCCAACAGGAAAGAAATTGAATGCACGAACTTCATGCTGCTCCCGATCGTCAGCCGAAACAAAGGTCGTGCTGCGCACAGAAGGGAATGAATACATGTGTGCATGGATGTATGTATGTATGTATGTATGTATGTATGTGTATGTATATATATATATATATATGAATGTGCGGACCAGGCAACTAGCCAGCGAGGAAGTTGTGCGGGCTTGTTCAGGTGCTTTTGGATCAGATCCTGGAGTGTCTGGCATCATGAAGCTGTTGCACCACGGGGTGTTGAATTCCTGGAAATCGATAAAGCAGAGCCAGGCAAGATGAGCAGAGGACGGAACCAAGACCTGCACAAGAAGCGAAAGAAGCGAATCGACGAAGAGCTGACCCCTGCCGCTTCCAACCCGGCTCAGGTACCGACCGAGCAAAGCCAATGCTTTGGAGGACCGTACCTCTCTGAGCGGTGGTTGCCAACGGCAGAGCGCACAGGACGGATATTTGTTCAAAAAAGGTATTGTGAGTAGCTGCAGGTCGTTGCATTGGCGATGCGGGGCGGTATGCCAAGCTGGCTGCAGCACCAGCGGCATGCCCATTCGGCATGCGCGAGGAAAGCTTCAAAGAGCTTGGAATCCACTCCAAATGAAAAATTATCAGATTGAGACAGAGCTCGTAAGACACGACATCAACAGAGCCACAGCTGCGCAAAGCTGTGATCTGTTGGAGGCTCTTTGCACGATGTCGGTATCATCAGAGCTTTGAGGATTGCATCAGAGCCACGTTGCCCCGATGCAGTCGCCAGGTATGTTCATCTTGAGTGAAACTTCAATCGAGAGACCAAGAGCAGGCTTCCAGTGGAGGCCCAGGCTCATTCCATGTCTACGATTCGACAATGGTGCCGGAGCCTCTATGCTGCACAGCTTGATCCGAATTTCGGTGAGACTTCTTCGCGAAACAAATTGTGAGTTTCCCCACAATTCGATCTTGAGTGCTGCTGGACTTGTGCAAACAGCGACCAGCTTTCCTGGGCAGAAACCTGTGCCAGGCTCTCAGCCCCATATCTTTCGCACGAGACACTTCTCTATGCGCTTCTCAGGCTCATCACCATCCCAATACTGGATTAGAACCTTGCTGTGCCCAGATACATGCTTACAGGCACTTGAAACTGCAAAAACACAAGCAGGTCTGCCAAGTGAAGCGAGGCATGCACATCATCTTGCTCTTCAGGAGTGTCCTTGACTTGGGCTACCTAAAGGATCTCAAGCTTGGCAGCTGCGAGTCTGCAGAGGTCCTCCAAAACAGTTGCTCGCAATGGCTGGACCTGGACGGGCTGACTCAGTCTTCCTCTCGCGTGCAGGCATGTAGCGAGTCTGCGCGACACTGCCTCGCCAGGCAAGAAAACCCAGACATCCTGCAATGATGGGGCCGGTTGATGCGAAGACCAACACAGCCATGGAATGCAACACACTGCAACGATCTGCAACGACAGCGCCTCCCTTTCCTCGAAGGAATCTTTCTTCAGCTCCTGGTCACAGGTTTCCAAAACCACGGTCTGCAAAGTTTGCGCCGCTTTACCAGTTCAGTCACTGAAGCTTCAAGTGTCCTGCACAATCCCAAGCCTTTTCGCCAGAATGCAGTAAGCTCCACTGGACCTCGTGCAAACAAGGCTCTGTTGAAGCCTTTGCTGGCGAGTTGCGCTGAGGTCCTGACCCTCGCTCTTGTGACAAGGTTATCAAGTCCTGCTGAGCGGGAGATTAGGCTTGCAGTCCTGCTTGCGGCTTGCTCCAGCTCAAAACGGAGTCCTTTCCCGCTTTGTTTTCCCAGCACGACCATACCCGAACGGGCAGCCTGAGCTTGGATTTGAGCACACGCCACACGGTGATCACCTCAACCCTTCTTCACATGCCTGCCTGTGGTGGAAACACCCTTTCAAAACCACCAAAAAAATGCAACCAGCTCACTGCGCCAGCACGTCATCCAGCTCCTGCATCTTGTTCTGAACCTTGCCACGAGGCCCGAATCCGGGCAAACTGTAACTGTTGCCGAACGCACGCTCGTAGAAATTCCGCCACCGAGAGCCCAGCCACATTTCGGAAAGCCTTCATGAACAACGAAACAGCATGCGCATTCAACACAGTGCTCTTTGCGGCACTCTTGTAACGCTGGCATGGCAGTCCTCTTTCTTCAATGCATCAACTTCCTCTTGTGAGAGAGAAATCTCAGGTTCATCCACCTCCTCGCCGTCCTTTCAGGCTTTCAGGTCAGGTTGGCCGTCCGCTGATGTCCGCTGTGTGCTGCATTTAAGTTCGCAATAGTATCACTTCAAAAGCTGCACTCCTCGGTTTCTTCCGACACCTGCCGCGTTACTTCTGCCGGCCTGGCTGCAGGGAGCTTCGAGGAGCTGCACGAAGCGGACGAAGCGTGTGCACTTCAGGGTAAAGAGTTTAAGGTCAAACGATGTCAAAACTTCTGTTCGATCAAAGAACTGAGACTTTCGTGGCACACCGCCCGCCTCGTCGAAACCTGCACGATGCCAGACAGTTCAGCACCGCAGAGATTTCAGAAACCGTGCAGCAATGGATTGTCTGGGCTAGCCACCTTCTCCTCGACCCAGCTGGAGGGAAAACAATCCTCCGAATAATCTTCCTGGCACGCAAGGGATCGAAGTCCAACTTGCGCACTGCCGCGTATACTTGGTGCAAGCACATTGTGGCCAGTACTCTGTGGCTTCGGATCTGTTGACGGAACCAGGGGCAAGGTCTTCCTGGTGCCTGAGGATCCAAATTGTTGCTGTTGGTCAGAGCCACCAGGTGCGAAGTCTCCTCGCGTTTTCCAGATTGACACGGCAGGGATCCAAGCAAGTCAAAACTGCGCCTCGCCATCCACACCGGCCTTGAGAAAAGCAGGCAGAAGGCGGCAGACAAGTGGCTCTGAACGCGGGCTCGTACCTGGTCCCCGCCTCGGCTTCCGCCTCGTCGTCCTCGTCCAAAGCCACCGAGGAGGGCTGGCTGGACGCAGAGGCGGCGGAGGCGCGGCTCTTCTCCGAGCGAAGCACCGACCGCGAGGCCGGTGAGGCATCGGAGGTACCTCTCAGACTGTCCCAGCGCAAAGGCGTCGCCGACCACCCTCGAAAGGTCACTGGCCATCGATGTGAGGAATTCCGACACCTGAATCGGGCATGCACATCTTGCTGCACTCATACATGCCATACACAGAAGTGTTTATGACCTGGCCTGATCAGATTTCATTTCTCTGGCATAACTTTGCCTCAGAAACACAGATTTCAGCATGAAAGCTACAAGCAGCTCGGCCGATACCAATCGCCGAGTAGTCGACAATGTCCGTCCGCAGTAGTCGCGCCAGTCCTGAATATCTCTTTGACCCGTGCAAACCCTAAACCGCACTCTTTTAGAAGACAACTTATCCTGCGTTGCCTTGCGCAATCGGCATGTCTGGAGACGATGATATTTGATGCTTACCAGCCACCCGTGTGTACAGATGTTTACAGCTTACAGTTTACAGGAGTCACGAGGCCAGAGCGCGTTAGGCAGGTGAGAACACATTCAGAAACACTGTGCTTCAGCTAACACGTCTCAGGCCGGCAGAGATGTGAGGGCATTGCTGGCACCACTCCCTCTCCTGCCAACGCACCGTGTCATCCAGGCTCTCCAAGATAGTCTTGACGGCATCTACATTGTCCTGTCAGGCAGAAAGCAAACCACTGCGCTCCACATCACGGGCTGGCACTTACTGTGCACAAGGCTATGAACTTCCAAGTCTCATCCTCTTTTGAGGCTTCACTTGTACTATCTCATGCTCCCCAGCTTCCGAAAGCAGTCGGGCAACGGTACATCACCGTGCGTTTTGGCGGCCTTCTTGACGTAGTGGAAAGCATCCTTCTTCTGTCCAAACAGTAGGACCTGTGCAGCCTGACTGAAGGGCAAAGGGCATCACGTTACCTAGGTCACTCACCCCGCCTGTGCTTTCCTGTCATCATCTGTCCTTGACTGCAGCTCGACAAGCTTGGCCTGGCACTGCTGGCACACAAGCCAAAACGTAGCAACGACGACGACAAAAGCGAAAGCGAAGCGGCAGGCAATATCAAAGCGGAGAAGGCCAGCAGTGGAAGGTGCTTCAATGAAAACTGCCCTCTTTTTCCGGCACACTTCAGATGTAAATTGATGTGACAGGAGTCTCGGGATTCGAGGAGTCAACCTGTCGTGCCGGAAAGGAAGCCTGACAGGAGCATCTGCCCTTTGACCCGGAGCACTTTGACCAGCATGAGTTACAATGCTATCAGTGGCCCTCGCCTGCGACGCAGCCTCCGCATCCATGGTGTCTCGAGGGTCATCGGCGGGTGGCTTGCTACCCGACCTAGCCACTCTTCTGTCGTTGTTTCCCACGTTAAACACAAGTACCACTAGCATTAACGGATGATAACAAAGCGCGTGTGGCAACTGCGTGCTAAGCCAGCTGCCAGCCATACCCTGGGCACCTCCCACGGGCACGGTAATAGCTTGCCAAGATGATAACTCTGAGTGCACTGGTATTTGACTGCTTCGTGCCTTCGTAGAAAAGGTCCCTTCGCTTGAAGCTCTTTGGAGAGCATCAGATTTGGCAGCTTGGCAGCTTGCTCGGCGATAGCAGCGCGGTAGTGCCTGAACCATTGGCAGTGCAGCCATCTCAGCGATGGCAACGCAAACCTCATGACTTGGAGTTGTTTGGAGCCTCATCTCCAGGTTGCTGGTGGGCATGATGGCGTGTCGGAGCTTCACCTTCACGTTGCCTCGGTGAGCAACTTGTGTGTAGAGCCCAATACCATGAGCCACTGCTAGAAATACAAATGAAAAAGGAGTCGTATCGTGCCCAGCTTCTGATTGCTCGTAACCACAAAGTCTTCTCTGCAACACCTTGGCCATGCCCGCCAAAGTCCCGGCTTCCACGCGCTGAGGGGCACTATTCGTCTTATGGCACTCGCCAACCACAAATCGGCTTCTCAAGCCATCTTGGCGCATTAAGGGTTTGAGCCAAACAAGAGCTTCATTTAAGAGCTTCAATTAGACAACCTTGGCCTCCTGCGGACTGTCATGCCCACAGGGATACGAAGATATACGAAGATATAAGAAGCTTGCAGGTATTTGCAGGTTGAAGGTCCTGGACTCCTGGACATAAATTTGCGGCTTGCAGTTCGGGGCAGCATTCGAGTTCAAGGGTCTATAAGTCTATAAGCGATAGCATTAGTCGGGGGCCTGAGTTCCAGGGTCAAGGCAAGTGCTTGCGGACCTGAGCTGGAATCTTGTCCCTTGGACACGTCAACAAACGAAACTTAATTCGACCCTGCCAGTGCCATGGGGACCAAAGACTGCGAGGTCGGCTGAATAATCTGAATCTCCCATCTCGATTCTGTCGGGGCAGGTGCTTGCAGGTTCGAACCATGTTCCAAGCCTACAATGAACCCATCTGCAGATCAAGCTGCTTCTGGCTGCAAAGTTCTGGTCGTTCAAAGTGAAACAACTGCAGTCCACCCCAAGCCGCTCCTTGGCCAAGGACACCTACTCGACCACTTTGAGATCTTATACAATAGGGGGCAGGTCAGACACACGTGTTCCGAAGGCCACATATCTTGCAAGATCTGCACCACAGATTGACAGCCACACGCAAGCATGCGCATGACCGCACCGAGCATCGCTGATGTGGCAGATTGAATCAATGGTGAGTCTGGCCTGGGTACAGCTAAGCTGAAGGGTTGCATCGAAAAGTGAAGGCTTGTATCAAACGCAGCTCTTCGGGCATCCAAATCAGATAATCAGAGAGCCCCACAACCAATGCAGAGCAGGAATGATCCTCGTACGCGATGAAGCCTTTGAAAAACACAGCACAAGTTCTCTGCCGGTCAATTCGCCGGTAAACTGTCCGCCTGCAGCATCTTCGACTGGCCTCAGCTGCAACACCCTTGGCGCAACTCTTTTTCCGATCTCTCAATCCTTGCTAAGGGGCGCATGGAGCTCGCAAAACACGGTTGTCAGGCCACTCCGGTCGAAGAGCAACATGTAGCCGGCCAGAAGACGTGTCTTCTTGCAGGGTGTGAACACTTCAGTCAATATGCAAGCAGGCAGCACACCGAGCGCGACAGAACATGCAAACTAATGCTTCAGAGGGCAGGGATCCGTAGGGCTGTGAAGATCGAATGGAGAACAGCATCACGCCACCAAAGTTCGGTGAGGACAAAAGCTACGTGAGATTCGGGATTCCTACACCTAGTACGCTTTGCACACTGCTAGATACGGTTCAGCTGCTCTTGCACATGATATCAACTGAGGACAGATCTTGTGCAGTAGCAGGCGCTGTGCTGACGGGCGAAACTTAACATCCTAGACTCCTAGACAATCATCGGAGCGTGATATCGCGTGATGCGGCGGTGGTGCTGTAATGCACCGTACGGATGAAGCCAAGTCTCTGTCCACTCAAGGCCAGGCACAGGTTCTGTGACCAGTCTGTGAACCGGAAACAGCGACACGGTCATCATGCCTCGGACGGAACAGAAATGTTGTGGGCGTGAGGCATGCGGCACGTTCCAATGCATGGACAGATGCGCAAGGCTCGAGCTGCGGCAGCGACCCATTTCGCCCGCTCCTTAAAGCAGCGAGCTGCGGCCAGTGTGTCTCGCATCGACAGACACCACGACATGTTGCGACTAATTTGTGGAGATGAGCATCTTGTTCGCAGTCGGGTCCCGAAACAGCAAACAGCAGCGATTTTGCGTTGTGGAAATCCACGATCTCAGATCCACAGTCTTCCGTGCTAGCTGCCACGAGGTTCCTATTTCCCTGAGCTGCAAGTGGCATGAACAGGCACGGCTTCCTCCTAGAAGGCTTAGAAATTTTAGCTTCTCAGAAGGTGGTGTTGCGGACAGCTTCAAAGTGAAGCATGCTTGAAAGAGTGGTAGTTGGACTGCGAAGAATCCTTTGCGTGAGTTTTGTGGCGGCACAGGGTCGGCGGATCGGACTCGTATGCGGCCTACGACTGGTCTGGACACATTCCACATTCCACGATGTCCCAAATCCGCCCCTGCCTTGAAGAGACGTGACCCAGGAAGGGACTCATCAGCCTGACGAGAGGGAGAGGTGCTTGCGGCTTTTGGATTGCCCGGCATCCAGCAAATGCCTCAACACTGTGAAGCCGACAGGCTTGGACGAGGCTGAAGGGGGACCATGCAAGCGAGGTCGTTGAGCACTCGTCCACCTGTCCTTAACAAGTTGACTCGCCAGCAGTAGGCTTGCGTAAGCTGCATGAAGCAGCAGCTGCTTCTTGTGATTAGATCGTGGATCATGCCTTCTGCTTCCCTAGGCTCTGATGCCAATGCCATTGATGTGGATGGACAACGTCACCTCAGAGTTTCTCTCCCTACAGGTCTCGTCTGCTTCGGCCTTCGATCGTTTTTCTCCACCTGCACCACACGCTGCAAGGCCGACTCGTCGCCAGGCTGAGCTTGAAGATACCAAACGCTGCCGGTCCTCCCGAGCAACGGCAGCTCTCTGCGACACCTGCAACTTCACGCGAGTGCCTCAAGGCCGGCTCATGGAGGGTTGCTGTGGAGACGACCTTGTAGGAGCCCTGAGCTTCCCAAGAAAGCGCTCCGGTTCAGAGAACCAGGCCGGCGAAAGAAAGGCCATGGGAGAACTCTACGCCGAGCAGCTGGGGCTACCACGAGCTCGTTCAAGTCAAATTTGCAGTCTTCGCCCTCGGAATCTGAATCCACATCCTTTCCTTTCACACGAACGTCCTGCAGGCCAGCGCGCTTAACGAAAGGATCAGGACTGCTGACCCAAGCCGTCTAGGCTCCAAGATGCTCCAAGTCTATGACAAACCATGAACCAGACAGCTTATGCATCCGATCAGAAATCAGAATTGCAAGCCAAGAAGCCCCGCTTCAGCCCGAGTCCATCACCAATCAGTCAAACTTCCTACTTTCCAATGCTCCGACCCAGTATCTTCAAGCCTGCAAGGTTCTAAAGTCTTCTTTCCGGTTGCTCACCTCTTGTTGACGAATATATTATGACGAAATCAGCTTTTCTTCGGAGCATCGACAGCTCTACATCACCGAGCAATGCTCTAGATGAAATGAATCTTGACATAATTCCATCACATGACACAACTCTCACAACAATTCTTTTCCTTCCGCTAATCACTAATCGGTAGATCTTGGATTCGAGCAATACCAAAACCCCATCCGCAGGGAAGTCAGGAAAGACTTGCATGCTCCGATGGAATGACCCCTGTGCATAGCCAGACGAAAGCTTGAGGCTGACGCTTGAGTTCCCTGGCCTGCCCACCGTGAAACTCGGCAACCCTATTCGGCACTATTCATCAAGATAAGCATGCACCCCCAGGCCTCGGTATGATCCGACATACCGGAATGGACACAACCCAACTCTCCAACACAAAGAACGAAGCCTGGACCACAGCTTGCGCCTGTTGAGGTTCCCGAATGTTACTGATGGCTTTCGCCAAGAGCCATTTCTGTTGTATTATGGTGCTCTTTCCTGCATCCTACAATGTCCAACAACTGTCAGTCCAGAGAATCTTGCAGGGTCGGCTGAACCACAACTATCTCCACGGGGGAGAAGTCCTGGCCACCTCTCAAAGCACATCTTTGCCAGCTTTCACCATGTACTGAATCTGTGCGACGACTGCAGCCCTGCAACAGGTAATCCCTTCCGCACACAGTCACACTGCCTTCTTCGCACTTGCAGAGGGCAAACATGGCACATCAGCCATGGATGCCGTGAGCTCTCCGTCGTCTGCCCCCATAGGAAGGAGCATTCCATATCTGGGCCATGTGCCACGACAGGCCGCGGCCGGATTTGCAGTTCAAAGAGGAGTCTTGTGTAATGCATGGTGGCCCGGTGAGGCCTGATCTGGTAACTGTCGCGCAGGTTGGTTGTGAAGTTTAGAACTCTTTAGCCACTTTAGCCTTCAGCGCGGCGGTGCAGAGTTGGCTTTGCCCACAAGGAGCGCTGAGAGCTAGGCTAAGGGGTCCTGGGTCGTGTACTAATTACTAATGTCTCATTCTCAAGCCGTCAGCTGCGATCACCGGCGTGGCGAAAGCAAAATATGGAAGATGAAGCGTGGGGCCGTGCGGCCGTCCGTTCGGCTGCCGGGGTTCCGCCGCGTTTCGCCGCACAGCCGGCCTCGGCCTTTGCAACGTCTTCGGCCTCGACCTCCGCCGTCCGTGCCGCTTCGACGGCCTGCAGGGCGGCACCGCCGCGATTGCGACATGGTCTTTAGGTAGAAGCCGGCAGCCTGGGCCAGAGCATGCTCGTCGTTGGCCTGTGCCACGCAACGTGTCTTCTTTCGTGCACTTCGGGCTCGTGAGCTCCGCGAATCTCCGCCTCCAAGGCCGCGTGGAGTTGCTCGAATGCCGCTCGGCGCTCGCGCCTCGGCGGATAGGAACAGTACGGTATGGGTCATGGGTCGTATGGAGGCGCACGGTCGACTTGAAATGACCTACTTGAAGTGACTTGAAATGCACATATAGCATACCTCTCTGCCTGGCCGTGGCCATGCGAGGTCCTGACAGCTGCTTGTTCTTCAGCTCGCGTTTCGCCTGGTGGCTTGGAAACAGCAGCCAGACAATGTCAGAACTGCAATCGGCCTCGCCAAGCAAAGACTCCACGGCAGAAATGGCATCTTTCAGTTGAGTCGAAGAAGATGACGAATCGATCATCGCCATCCTAGCCAGCCCGTTACGTGACCGGACAATCCGGACTGCATGCACCTGGCTGCAGCCTAGTCGCCTCAGACGGTTTTCCGAGGAGGTCGCAAGCTCCTGCGTGGGAGACTGCGCAGCTTCCTGGTGGGTAACCTAATCTCCCTGCTCTCACGATGGCTTCTGATTCAGATCTCAGCACATCTCAGCATGGAAGCCCAGGCAGCTCTAGTCTACACCCTTTCAGACTGATTGTGCTACCTGTCGGGATGGCGAAAGCACATGATTGCTGTGCCACTTTGTGTGGCCCCTGATCCTCCACCTGATGCTTGTGCTCGCTTGCGCTGCTTTTTGCTCGGCATTGGTTCGTTCCTCATGTGCCATCCAGCATCGCACCCCCAACAAGCTTGCTCGAGTAGCCCAGGCACTCTGATGTGGCACTTTGTCACAGAACCTGACGTTTTGGTTCTGTTGTACCAGAAGTTCGGATAACAGTGTCGAAGAAAGACTGTCTGCAAGGCGTTCCTTCCATCGCGGTGTGCTCTTCGATCCATTGCTGAGTTGGGACGAGGCCTGGGACCTGTTCCTGGTCCGTTGGGACTGCTAGGCCTACTGACCTGGGGAAGTGAAGGCCCACACGCAGGGTCCTCTCCGGTGCCAGCTCCAACGCCGCTGCACTCCCGAGCCCAGCGGCGGTTCTTTTCCTGGCGCTGCAGATTTTCATCGGAAGCCACCCCGGCGGCCTGGCGCAGCTGCCGGCCTCGGAGGCTTTCTGCTCATCCTCACGCAGCTTGCGCTGGACTTCTACCTGCATGAAATGGCACGCGCTGCTGGTGCAGGAACTGTAACTCCAAACTAGCCATGGCTTCAAAAAACATGAGCAAAGCATGCGACATGCATCTGGTAAAATTGCAAACCATTTCGTGCATCCACTAATCACTAATCGACGTAAGGTACGAAAAGCTGTCGACAACAGCAATAGCCAACTACAAGACAACAGGCAACACCAAGAGGTAGAGATCCCGGACAACTTTGTGCGGGCTGACCAGCGTTGAATGTCGTGAAGAACCCTAGTCCAGGTTTGTTCGATTTACATTTTGCTCGGTCGAGCCTGCTTCTGCAACGAGGCATTTTCCTTTTGCAACTTGGCCACCTGTCCGAGCAAGCTTGCAAATGAGAGTCGTGGACCCATGTAGGCTGCCTCGTTCCGCGCTGCCGCAAGCTCATCTTGGTACAGGAGGGCTGACAACTACTGCACTCTGCACAGACGAAAAAGAAAGGCACTATTTTGTGCGAGCGAGCTGCCTGCCATGTCAGCTACCTGGCAATAAGCGCGATACTGTCGAGTGGTCAGTTGAAGATCGCTTGTGGTGCAAGCAATGTGCCTTGGCCTTCGCATCTTCAAGCTCACCTCGAAGTGATGTGCGTCGAACTAACTTACAACCGCACATGGACTGCAAGGAAGACAGGCAACCACCAGCAAAGTGCTCGAAGCTGTTCAACTCCTCAAGCCTGTTCTGGAGCCTTGTCAGCGCCTCGCACGGTGCGGCAGCTGCGCTCCCGAACGGTTGCAAAGCAGAATTCTTTTGGCTCATGCGCGGATGAGTTGCAGGTTCGGCATCTATCGGCAAAGCGCGAATTGCGGGTACGACGGCCTCTTTCAAGTCACTGTTTTCACCCTGCGACGCCGGCTCTGCATGCTTGTGGTGTTCATGAGAGTTCATTGCAGAACAAGTGGAGATTGTCGTGCCTCCAGCTGCCTGTTCTTGGTTCGCAGCTCCTGGAACATGCGTAAATAAACCCACATAGCAAGACTTCGGTTTGCGCGCCTTCCGCAAGTCCTCGTTCTCGCCCTTACTGAAGAACAGATGAGCACGACTGAGCTTCACAGCTTTACATCGACTGGGAAACCCGCCACAAGCTGCTGCCATTGGGCAATGACACCCTTGCGCTCATTCTCAAGGCCCTGTCCAAGTGACACTGTCATACTGTTGCAACCTATTTCTAAATCAGTGCCTCCAGCTTCTGTTGCATCCTGTGCGCAGACATCTGATCTTCTTGACAGGAAGACAGAGCGCTATCCAGCAAGTGAGTTCGCGGTCACACCATCGCTTTCCCTACTCTTTCTTCAAAGTTCTTGCCAAAGCACCGATCTTTTTCGTTATGCAAGTACTTGATGAAGTCCTGGCGCATTCAGCACTTGACAGACTACCGTATCGCGACTGCTTGACTGACGCCACATTGCAAAACAGCCTTCAGCGACCTCGACTCCGGCATGCAAATCGGGCTGGCTCCGGCATCGGTAGTCCTCGTTGGCACGAAGGTCGCAAGACCACTTGTTGTGGAGCTTGTTGAATGCCTTGCAGACGACTTTGACAGAATCAGGAACCTCCATCCCCAGAGAGCGTCTGCCACAGCATACCAGATCCAGATAAGCCCCCTGCATCATTGGCTTGCCGTCGCTCCTGGCGACTTTCAGTAATAGATCGGGTCACAACTCCAACCTTTTCGGATGAACGAATACCTTCCAATGTCTGGCAAATGCTCTAGTGTCAGTGTAGCGGAATCTAATGACAACCTCGATGTTGAGGACGGTCTTCGATCCGGCTTACCGCAGCTACCAGAGAGAGATGCTGCCCACTGCCGACAGCCTACTTAGACACTGTCGCAATGTCAGAGGCTCCGAACAAGTCCTGATGAAGGAGGTTCGTAAGCACGCCAACTTCCTTTTGTAAATCCTGTCCATTCTGGCACGCTCGAAAATGACTCATCAAGCATCGTCTTGCACAAGTACCCTGGCAGACGACACAGAGACGAGAGAAAAGACAGAGAGACAGAGACACAGAGTCATAGAAACGAGACAAAAAGACTACGAGCCAGGGAGACCCAAAGGCAAACAGACAGACAGGCAGACAGCTTGCTCATTAGCCAGGCAGACGGGCATAGACGGACACGGACTGATACGGACAGACATCGAAAGACGGACATGGACAAATACAGACAAAGAAGACTCAGACCGACACAGGGAGACCAAAGACAATGAAACGGAACAAACGAACGGACGGGCAGGCAGGCAGGCAGGCAGAAAGGCAGTAAGGCATGCAGGCAGACACAGACACAGACAAAGACAGGCACACACACACACACACTGACACAGGCACTGACACAGGCACAGAGATCGTCAGAGATTGCTTGGCAGACGGACGGACGGATTGAGAGAATGTCGAGACGGACGTTTACAAACGCCGACGCAAAGTCACTCTCAGCGACAAGACACAGACACAGACAAGGACCGAGAAAGATGCTTGCACGTGCACGGGCATGCGCACTTGCAAGAGGAGGTGCTGGGGTGCACGCGCACGCAGTCGCCAGCACACGCATACCGAGCGCATCCGAGCGCCCACACACACACACACACACACACACACACAGAGACAGACACAAAGAGCATCCAGAAACAGCTTGCTTTTGCCTCGGTGCTCCTCTCATTTCTTTTCCTGTGGCCATTGATTCGGGGCATCAACACAAGCTTGAGTTTGCAAAGCGCGGCCACGAGTAAAGGCTCAGTTTTTGGCGTCACCATGACACTCTGGACCTGCAGTCGAAAGTTCTTCCGTGTGCAGGCATAGATTGCAAAGATGCCACTTACTGCACGGTGCACTATTTATAGCGTAGGCAATTTCAAGCCTGCAGTCCGTGCTGCGCGTCCTGCCAGATAGTATAGCCGATACGCCTCTGGCCGAATTCTCATTTTCGCATGGCTCCGGGCCTCTTGCGTACTCACCTGGCCAGAAGCACGCATGCTAGTGTTGCCCATGGTCGTTAATTCGAAGCAGCCGCAGACTCCCAGCTGTCGGCTGCCCTCGTCAAAAACCGGGCAGAAAACTTGTTAACCATGCATACTTGTCCAACCGTGAAAACCACGAATCTGCCGACACCAGGACATACCAGGACCCGAGTTTCACGTAGGGCCGTCCAACAAATCTGAGCTGCCTGAAGTCTCACCCCGGAAGGCAATGTCTTCCGACTGGGCACCTGCAGGACACCAGGTCCACAACACAAGACACTCAGTCTCGCCCCAGCTTGCCTCGCTTCCATCGCTGAGGATATCGGACTGGGTCAAGAATGAGTCAAGAAAGGAAGAAAGGCATGCGTTCCGCAAGAGGACGACGTCCAGACCTGAGGCCTTCACGCGGCTGGGAGGGCTTGACAGCATGCCCTGGCCCTGGACCGCTGGCCGTGGTGGACTCATGGCACCTAGCTGAGAAATCATGTGGCATATCATGCGCCAGTCTGAGACTGTTGAGGCGGCACAGCAGAACCTTGCAGATTCGGCGTTGGACCCTGACTGGAGACGAGCCGTGTAGGTGCGCCTTCCCGCCTGAAGTTTCTGCTGCCACTGCAAGAAAGCTCTGCTTCGTCTTGAGCTGGGACTCACACGAGGTCCTGCTGGTCTGAGAACCCTGGCAAGGCAATGGCCTGAGCATGTCTGCTCTAGTTCCGGCTGTTGCCAGTGCTGCACCGTGTTGCTGCCATATGCACTCCGGCATTCCTACCGCATACCACAATCCCACAATCTCTGCAAAGCCCTCGCTCAGACGGCTGCTTGGGACTGGGAGTGCAAGGCGTGCTGGGAACACTCGGGTGCCCCTGCCATGTTCCACTTCGACGTCATGAATTCACTCTCAGCCACCGCCAGGCTTAAAACAAAAAAGGACCACCTGTGAACTCGGAGGCCAGCTCAGGCGAGGTGCGCGTTGCAGTGAGCCCTGCAGGGTGCATCTTCGGCTCAGCAAATCCTCAGCCTCGACCTGTTTATGCAGTTGAGCCCTTCAAGAAGGGGGGGGCCTGCGATGCCGTTGGAGACACGGTGCCATGCCGCGGCTGCACCCTCGGATTGCATCAACTTGCTCTGCTTTGCAGTTCGAGTATCCAACAAGCACTCCTTTACATTCAGCTTTGGACATCTGTGCTTGCGTGAAGGGGACCTGCTGCAGAGGGCATTGCTGGACCTCCAATGCAGCTGGCAGGGAGACTGCATGCGGTGCATGTAGGGTGCATGTATAGGTCTGGTCCCAACAAGGAAATGCAAAAACGAGTAAAACCCAAATCAAGCCCCTTGCCTGCTGACTGCACGGAGAGGCCGCACGTGGTTGCGTAGCCTGCGTTGCCCTGGGTGTTGAAAGGCTTCAATGACTCAACCCGCAGAGTCGCGAGCGGCTGATTTCGCGATGCAGACTGCAGGGCGCCGACGAGCGCACAGCGAAGAAGTTATTTTCGCGACGGACCTTTGCGAATTTTAGGCAGCCTGCGGCTAAGTCCCAGCCCCAGCATGTCCGAGTCTCGTCAGCTCTGTCTCATCTGAGGCAGGATCGTTGAGTGCTCCCTGCGGAAGTTGAATGGAAGTCGATGAAGCCGGCACTGGCACCTGTAACAGCAACTCGCGTGTCAGAGAAGCACTACTTGAAAAACCCAAGCCGCTCCGTTCCTCCAGTGCCGCCAAGTGGCCGAAAACGTCCCTGCATCCTGGTCACCTTGGCCCAAGCTTCGCAACTGGCCGACCAGACCCGCACAAAGGTTCAAAGACAGGGCCCTGACCGATCTTCGCCTCAGAGCGACACGACAGGTACATCGCTAAGCCGGTCTTGGAAAGACATGCCGGTGCTCGCACTCAGATTTTTGCCGGATGTGCTGCGCTCCGCGCACGGGCTAATGTCTGCTGATGTGCCCCGCGAAGGACGACAAGCTGCTCTGACGTCAACATACAGACCTGCTTCGATCATCACTCGCAGCCCCGACTGCACCGATTGCGTATCCGTCGCGATCGAACACCATCGAGCATGAAGCTCTTCGCGATCCACGAAACGTAGACGTAGGCCACCCATAATCGAATCTCCAGCATTGCTCGACTGGGACCCAGCTGACAGCCCTGCTGTCCTAAGTGGTCCTAGTCCAGCTGATAGTCCCGGATGCCGAAGCTGTCCGCCTGGCACATTGAGATAGCAGAATCTCACGTTGGCACAATTAGAGCAGCCTGCGCGATCCACAATGGGGGCTTCCTTTCTTGCTCAATCACCTTCAGCGCAGAGGCAGTGCGTCTGGCAGCTCATGGGCCCGACGGCACAAGCGAGACTTGGCATCTCCGCCTGCAAGGTTCCAGAGGCCAGCGCCAGCAGCTCCAGGCCGTCCTCCTACCAAAAGCACGAAGCGCCTTTGGTTCATGTGCATGCACGAATGCATGCCATAGAAGCCGTAGCCTTTGAGACGAGCCAAGCGGGCACTGCCACGGTCTCATCTCCTGGGCTCGGAGCTTAACTTGAAGCACTGCGTCTGCAGAAGCACTGTCTACACTGACCCAGATCCTGGGCTGCTCCCTTCCGACCAGACAGGCCAGCCAGGCGTCGCTCCCGACCGGCTGTCATGTCCGGCAGCTCCAAAATCCCGACTGCGGGTGGAGGCAAACCGCTCCTCCTCGGAAGAGATAGAAAGAGAGAGAGAGGGACATGAGGCCGGAAGACGGAATGGCTTCAAAGGAGTCTTCGACTTTCATCGAACAAATGCAATCTCGATTGCGTCAAACTGCTCAAGATTACCGCAGATCTGCATGCTGCGTGTTCTCATGAACTCCTGTTGAAGACCACCAACCCGCAGTAGCCTCTTTCTGCTGCCACGATTGCTTTTTCCTGGAGGACAGCTTATCTTACGGAGCTGGCGCTCTGGTCCCTCACCGGAAAGACGCACGCTCCTCAAAAGTGCACGCCCCACGTCTCGCCAGTAGCACTGAGCTGCTGAGCGGCGGAGCCGGGGGCACCGTGTCCCTGCGACATGTGGCTGTCCCATGCATGCTCCTGTGCGGGGTTGGCGCCGTGCCTGCTGCAGGCCTGTCCATTGCCAGGCGCTGGCATCAGAAGCCCGGATGCAGCAGCGGCACCAGTTTCAGGCCATTGGCACGGCAAGCAGCTCGAAGAGCTCGGGCACTCTCTGTCGCCACCGTGCCATGCCTGAGTCCATTCATCACTTGTCGAGTGTCGTGCCTGCGAGACCCAAGCAATCAACTGCCAGTCTGTCGGGGTGCATTCCAGCGCGCCGCGTTCGCCGCATAAACATGCTTTCCCCCGTTCGCATCGATGACTGTGAGCCTGGTGGTTCCTAGCTGCGACGAGTTGCTTGCAGAGCATGTCCTGCGGAGGTTCGAAGGAAGTGACTCTTGCAAGAAACTCCTTCCGGGGCCTGAGCAGCCAAGCCGCAAGCAGCAGCCGCATCTGAAGCTTACAGCATGGCGGTCTTGGGCTGAAGGTGCAGTCTTTTCCTGGTGTTGCTTGTCTGAGCGTGCGGCGGCTAGGCTGTAACATTACCAGTTAGTTCGAGTTGAGCAGACACGCTGCAGGCAACAGCTTTCAGTTCGCCCCCAAGCTCACCCACAGTAACTCCGTGACAGCTTCATGGGGTCCGAGCTCGGGCTTGCCTGAGCTTGGCTTCAAGCTCCGATTCATGCGGTTGAGGCACCTGGCACCCAGCATTCTCGACGGCATTTTCTCTGGAAATCTTGCCCTTCTGTGTAAACCCGGCTGCGCTGCGTGTTGACCGGAGCCACTTCGTCGTCCCGTGACGCGAAAGGTCATGATTCCTGATGACGACAGGATTTCGAAGGACCGGACCACACGAATCGTCTATAGCTCAGCCAGGCCCAAGGCAACCAAAGCTGCAGCTCTTGGAGGTTGGGGCGAGGGGAAGGAATTGTTTCGTGTCGTGTTTCCTGCAATCATGTATTTCGCATGTTGCTGTCATCCTTTGTCCTTTATGCGATCGACATCATATCCGTCATGCGCCGTGTTAGATCGAGCAGTAAAGCTGCAAGCGGGCACGGAACCTGCAACTCGCAAAGAAGCGAAAAAGCATGAAAAAGCATTGCAGCATCCTGTTAGCTCTACACAGGCCAGGCCTGGCAAGCAAAGGTGATGACGCGCAAACGACTTAAGCAGAGGCCGTTGAAAACGTCAGCAACTCCCCCCATCCGGCCCTATCCGAGAAAAGGAGCACCAGATGATCTTCCTCAAGCATCTCAGAGCCTGCCGAGAAAACGCAAGGCCTATGCAGTGGTTCACAGCTCCCTGTTGCGCCTCTGACCCTGGACAGCACGGGCAACTTTCGAAAGCTCTTGTTCGCGGGTTGAGGGCCCCAGGCCAGATCAGGTCAACAGCAGCGGTGCAAGTTGCATGCAGAACAGTGCCTTGGCCAAGTTCCTGCTGGCAATGATCTGCAACAGCGCTCGGGCCAACTGCATCGGCGTTTCGGAACATGCTGATCACGCCTAGCTACCTCGGCCCACCTTTCTTAGACCAACATCATGCAACATCATACTGGATGCGTTCAAATGCTGAGTCGTGCATCATACATCACCAGCCTCGGCCTGCCCCAAGGAGTAGTAGTTGCACATGCAGATGACCTTGCATCGCAGCGAGAGAAGTGGCTCCCGAACAGCAGTCTGACCCTCGCGAGGGCGGGACAATCTTGCTGTCATCATGTTCTAGAAGAAAAGGGCAACGGCCCTGCAGGTCTTCGATGATAGAAGCCGGAAAAGAAAAAAGGAGAACACCTTTCAATCATTGAGGAGAATGCCCCTTCATCCTCCGTCCGCACATTGTCATCGCCCGTGGCACCCGTAGAGCCCGTGGAGCCTGAAAGGAGCACCCCCATGTACTGAAGATGAGGGGATCCCCGAACCGGAGAAGCCCATCCGTCCTTGCATGCTTCTCCAGTCGGCATGCTGCCAGGCGGCCCGCTGACATGGGGACTGATAGAATGTTGAGATTCTTTACTGTAAGCTTTTGCTCTGCTTCCTTCGTTCAATACCCGCCTGAAATCAGACATTCGAAGGCTGCTTGCTTGTGGCAACGATCTTGAGGTGTTTCGCCCTCGTTGCCACAGCAAGTAGTTTGAGCTGTCTCATGCAGCTACTCCTCTTCCCACAGACTTCGGAAAGCATCGATGCAGGTAGCTCGTCAGAAATGCCACGCGCAGAACAGACTGCAGAAGGGAAGAGCGATGCGAGGGCCCACCGCGCTCCACTTCTTGATTTCAAACCGCTTCTCACCTGGCCAAATGCAGGTGATCAAGCCTTGGACCAAGCGTGAGAGCTTCTCAGCACTCAACATTCCGGCATTGACCGACACATTGGCGTTCATGATTAATTTCAAGTCCCACCTGGTGGACCCGGGTCATCTGAAGATGCGGCAGCCATGGTCTGTACAGTCAGACACAAGGATGGTCCACCCCGAGCAATGCTAAATGCCGGCAGGAAGATGGCACTGCAACGCAAGACCGGAGTGTCCCTCCAAGTCCATGCTGCAAAACTCAATAGACGCCATGGTGGTCCTGTCGTACTGCCTTCAAGTGCTCCGCAATCGGTCTGCGACGAGACTCCGTTAACAAAACACACGAGTGCAAGTCCAGAAGGAGACCGGCCAACTGCTATAGCTTATTACTAGTTTCCTAACCATCTTATTTGAAACAGTCGGTCACCGCTGGGTACAAACACCGGGGGGTGAAACTGCGATGGCCACAGTTTTGCGGCCATGCAGAAAGCGTGACAGTGATGCTTTGGGATGACTTGAACAAGCTGGACCAGAGCAGGAAAAAAGCTCCGCATCTTACAGAACAGTTCTGAACTCAGCACAGCAGTGGATTGCATCCTGAAGCCGGCTGGACGATTGGCAGCTCAGTAAACACGAAGACTTCTGCGAACACTTTACAACACAAATTTTCGGAGGAGCAGCCCGACTCCGCAGCATCAGCAATGCGGCCTGACATGCACAAGCATGCCCACGAAGATCTCCACAACTGCACCAGGCAACTCACAAGTGCACCACCAGCTGGACTACCATGCTTGAATGTAAGCTGCCTCCCTTTCTTGCTAGGGATTTGGGCAGAGTCCACCCTGCACCGAATCGGCGGCGATGTTCCGCATCTGATTTGAACCCGTTCCGTGAACTTCCAACTTTGCTTTGACAAGCATGATCTTAGCTATTTTGCTTTCCAAGGAACAACTTCAAACATGGCTAGATACCGACTGTTACTGTTCACACGCACAGCGAGATCCTAATTCATGGTCCCCTGACAGCATCGCGTATCCGGAATCCGGAGATCAAACCATATCTAGAACCTAGAAACTCAGCCAGTACTCATAGTACGGGTGTGCGTCATTTTGAACATTCGAGGTGCAGCTGGCTTTGATTTGGTGATTTGGCTCGTTGGTTTGTTCTGGTGACTTGTAAGTGGGGATCGTCTTTGCTGAGCTCCTGGAAGGTAATCGACAGCTATGTCAGCTGGCGGCAGCACAGGCTGCATCTTCTGGCTGCGATCCATTGCCACGAGTGCGATTGTGGCCAAACAAGCTGAAAGACAGATGGAAGGCTGTGGAGAAACAGCGAGCGAAAGAGAGAGAGAGAGAGGCAGAGACAGAGACGGAGACAGAGAAGTCTCGCTTGCAGCCAGCGACTGCAGCCCGCTCCCTCCACTGCTGTCGCTTCGTGCGATCGTTGGTGGAGATGCTGCTGCCTCCTGTGCCCCCTCTGGTTCCTCGTCCTCTTCTGCTCCTGCTGCTTCTTCTACTGCCTGTTTTGGCGTGGCGTGCCAGAACACAGCCTTCGACCGCCGTTGGGGATTGCAACATTCCGGAGACCCTAGAGTCACCACGAGGATGAACAGACTATGCAAGGTTAAGTTAGCAAGGCTCGTGGCTGACAAAGTCAATTGAATGGCTCTTGGGTTTCACGCTTTCCGCTTCAAGACATCGGGAAGCCAGGACCCCGGCCGCACAGCAGCCAAGGATCGCAGCGCCGGAACCATCCGGTTGGCTTCTGCCACTACTTGCTCCGAACTCCTCCAACAAGAGCAGACAGTAAAGCCCGATTCCGCCCTGCAGACCATGCGAGGTCCGCTCCTTCCCAACTCCCCTCTGGGATTGGCATAGGCGTGCAGGGGAATTGCTATCCTCGGTTCAGTGGCGCTCGTGCACTCAACATCCCTTACGGCAAGTCATCCATCCCTCGCAAGCAATATGCCATGGTTTCCGAGCATGAGCGGATCAAGCATAGCAAGCCATGATCAACTTAAAACTAAAAACCTGGGTTGTAATCAAATTGGGATCGAAGACATGGAAGCCAGCTCCTGACAGCTACCAACTGGTGCGAAGCCTGCAGCTGGTTTCTGCTTTTCTATGGGTCGGAGCTTGCGACTCCAAGTGTTTGTTGCTGCGGGTGGGCCCTTTGCCGTCCCATGGAAAGATCTTCAAGTGTGTGGCGCGTTTGTTCACTCCCGGCTCCCTTTTGGGGGTGCTTCTCTCGCCTGATTGGGTTTCGAGAACTTCAAAGGAGCAGGTGGATGGCTGGTGCTGCTCGGCCGGGCCTTGTGGCTCTTAGCTGATCGGCAGCCATCCTACACAGCTCCTTTCCTTCTCCCTTTTGCTTCTAGCGTCTTGACTCTATTTTGGCGAAGTTGCCCGTGGGCAAGGGGCACTCGGGCACGACTTTTGAGGCCTCAGTTTCTTGATAAACTCAACTACTTAAGCACGCGGGCTGGAATGGAAATCGGAATCGACAACGAGCATCTGTCCACACCTGGATTCTGTCGGAACCCTGACACTGCGGAGGCTGTTTGCTTTACATGGCCACTTTGCCTTGCCATACTGACTGCGGACGAAGACCAGGAAAGCCCTGCAGCAACAACGCTACGCCAGCCAGACCGATCTGAGCTGGAAGTGGAAGCGACCAGCACGAATCACTGCTGTACTAACAATGTGGGACACCTTCCTTCATCTTTATCCAAGAACAATCGTCCGCAAGACACGAAACGGAAAACTGGCTACACCGAAAGACGGGTTTGATGCACGATGCAATGCCGCGAAGGCATAAAGATGTCTGAGCATAAGACCCATGAATAGGGTTCCGGACGTGAGCCTGGCTGAGACCGGCAATCAGCTGTGAACTCCGACAAGACCCAGCGTGCCTCATGCACGATGGTAGAGCTGTTTTGGCTGACGCGATCATGCCGAACTCCCGCTGCCACGCCCAGGTCATAGACATCAGCATCTGAGAACATCACAACAACAAACTGACACACCTGGAAGCGTGCGCATGTGCTTAGCCGCTTAGCCGGTCACTTCTGGGTCCACCAGTCACTGGATTGCAGCGCACTGGCCTCGTGAGCAGAATAGCTTCCATCTATCTTTTCTCATTGCGTGGTCAGGATCTGAGTGACCTTAGGCACTGATACGATCTATCGCCCTACTAGTAGTTCTGTTTGCGCTCCATCCTTTCACGGGAGGCAGAAGGACCCAGGAAACATGGCAAAGTCAAACATGAAAGCCAGAATCCAAGCTACCTGACTGGAGCCTCAGCATAGCATCTGACTACGCCTCTGTTCTGGTGTCGCTCGCTCGCAGCACCGCAATGACATTAAACCGCTCGCAGCACCGCAATGACATTAAACCAAGGAGCTTGGGCCAAGCACTTGTGGGAATCAGCACGCCGGACCCCGCCGCTCGAAGTACTTTTTGGTGATGGTGCTCCTCCTGCTGAGATGTACTCGGGCAAGAAATCAGGCGGATTACGTGGACAACCTTTCAACTCAGACTCAGACACTCCAAGTCACGGTCCTGCGCTATTTTGCGATGTGCTGAGTGGGATTGCAGCGAGTAGCCTGGCCTGCGATCAGTGGCGCAGTTTACCGTGCAGGTCCTCCTTTGCGTACAGAAAGGCGGCTGTCTCTGCGCCTATCATCTCCGAAGTGCACCTGTGCGCCAAAACGATCTGCAGCTCACCGGTGCTACAATATGACTACGGCTTCTGAAAGCCAAATGTTGCAGTCTGGCTTGCGGACACACCTTGAAACTTCAGCGATAACAGAAACAACAAGAACCAAAGATGGGCGAGGGGGGTGTTGCGTTTCAAAACATCTGTCTTGCTGGGCGACTTGGCAGGTTGCAACGCATGTGCTTCCAGAATGGCAGCTTGTTACAAAATGCTCCAGCGGTGCTGCATAAGCAGCTGGCTGAAACCACTGGAACCAGAGTGTCATTCTTCGGCTGTGGTCCTGCAATGATCCACACGCATATGCTTGAATAAACTGCGGCCAAGCATTTCTTGCTGTAGCATAGAACTCTGACTTATGCCTGGATCTTCAAACCTGTCGCGCTGCTCGGTGCGATAGTGGATCTCCGGCTTGAAGGCCTGCCTTCATGACCCCGCACATGCCACAACTCTGAGACAGACTTTGCTCACATCTCGTGCGCAGCACATGTTGGTATCATCTGGTATTTGTGTCAAGACCGAGCTGACCACTGTCTGAGCTCAACGACACTCATGTTCTTGTCTGGAGCATCGCTGGTGGCATACACAACCTCACGAGCGATTGCCCCCTCCAGCATGCCCAGTAGAGCTCATGCTGAGCTTGCGAGCGTCGCCTCTGGATCCACAAAAGTGGTGTGAGTAACGGAAGCTCCCCGATTCCCTTCGTCCCACTTCTGACCTTACACAGCTGCTCAGCCACTATCAGCACAGAGTGGTAAAGTGCTCAGTCAGTCATGCAGTGACGCCGGCGGAAAAATTTACTTTGGGCTGTGGCATCCGATTGCAAAATGAGTAGCTTCATGTAGCCTCCAACACTGCAGCAGCCACACATTCAACTTGCAGATAACCGTCTTCTCTAGACTGTCTACAACAAGCAGAAACACGCGCCTTTTCAACTGCGAGGCTTTCTTGCTGCAGATCACATCCTGGGACGTAGCACCCAGCCTTCGTGTCGATGCGATCAGGGATCACGTATAAAGTCCGTATCTCAGGCGCGCGCCCCTTCAAGAAGCCTTCGTACTGGTGTTCTGCGTGGTGTGAAGGCCTCGTTTGCACCTTGGGGGGACAGGACTCCAATGGTCCAAACGGAAGATAGCAGGGCCACAGCGCACATCATCCCATCACACAGGCTTCTCACACACGCGACATGTACTGCAGGCGGTGAGGTCTGGACAGCCTCGCCCGGCATCGCCCGTGAGACAAGGCGGCGAATCAGGCGAGGATCGTGACTTTTGAGTTTACTGCTATGCTGTCGCAGATTTGCTAAGGCTAAGATTCCCAAGCACTTGCTCAACCAGCGTGCTTTTGCGGTCCCTAAGCTTTATCAAACCGGCGGCATCCAACATGTCCATGAAAGGCTGACCCTGTGGTGAACTGAACCAGTCATCCTCCCTATAGAGGATGAGATGGCAACATCCACCACAGCATCCAACATATCCGATCCCGGCTAACATGACAATCCAACCAAAACATCCACCACAGACATACACCAAAACATCCACCGCAGACATCCAGCGCAACATCCAAGACATCCACCGAAACCTCCAAGACATCCACCAAAACATCCACCTCAGACATCCACTACGGATACCCACCACAGACATACACCCAAACCTCCACCACAGACAGACCCCAAAACATCCACCCAAACATCCAAAATATCCACCTCATGTGTATCCAGCTGGGGATATACGGGTCTACGATAGTGAGTATTTTTATATTTTAGGTGTATTTCCTTTGCGACTTGCTTGTTTTTGCTAAAGGATGAGATCGCAAGTCGAACGCTAGTGCTGACACTCTTTCCATGATCAAATACCCTTGAGCAACTTGACTCCCTCCCATTATGGGATGCTGAGCCAAGTCATGGCTCGGTGTTGTGCCAGTCGTGTCTCACGACGTGGGCACATCTGACATTAGGGGAAGTGGAACCCTTCCCACTACATGTCGTTGCATGCACAGCTTTGCCGTCCATGAATTATCGTGATTCTTGTGAGACTGCAGCACGGCAGGCTTGGCCGACCAGCTGAGTGCGTTATCATATGCAGTCCTTTGCTGCATGCCATGCGTCTACTGAATCTATCTACCGTTCACACAAAAGGACATGGCCAGGACAAGCCACGGCCACAGTCTGGCGACAAAGTGAACTGAATTTCCTAGGCCACACATACCCCAAAGATGCACTGACATCATCGAAGCCCGCCTCTTACTGGATGCAGACACTGCAGGTCTTAGCAGAGTGGGCAGGTCACCTAAGCGACGGGGTACTATCATGTTCAGGCCGGCGGTCGTGGATTGCCAAGTAGTAAGGAGACTACCGATTTCAAAGCCACTGAAAGCGAAGCTCGTGATTACCTGAGTGATCTGGGTGTGTCGGTGTGTCACTGCGTGGGTGTGTACTACGACACGCACGGACACGTACTGTCATGGGCTGCAATGAAAACCACCCAGACAGGAGGAATTTAGGGCCCCGCTGAAGCATGTCGAGCGTTATCACCTCGAGCAGCTGCGGACAGTGTGTCAGGCACAAAGGATAGAAGCACTACAGCGACTGCACAAAGGTAACCAGGTACGGAGTGGTCTAAAAGACTCGTCCTTGATGAAGCGGCATTGCTGTCTGTTCACATGTTGCATCGCATGCTGCGGGGAAAACTCGGCTGTCTACACGTCTAGATTTAGATGCCGGGACGGGTCTTGAGCTAGTTAGCTAGTTGTCGACTCGCTTCAGCACAGCAATTTTCCACACTCTGGCACCCCACTCACAAGATTCCGACATTGGAAACCTCCCACGAGAGGGATGTCCTCTTGACTGGACTAGTGTTCGCAGATTTGTGCCGTTCGCTCATGCGACATGGAAGACATCTTCAATTCTTCGCCCAAGCACTGCTTGGTTGGACCCTTCAAAGGCGGTCTTGGAGAATGGAGGCCAGTTTCAAATCTTTCTGGGCTGGCTGAGAAAAGGTTTGCTATAATCTGAAAAGTTGGTAGAGTCTTCACTGGTTTTTTTGCGTGGGTCACTGGCTGCATGGGGGCCACCTGCATTCAACAGAAGCTCCCTGTCGTCATGTGTGACTGACAGGTTCCTGTAAGTACCAAAGTCCGGCCAACAAGCAAGGTGCAACGCGCTAACGGGTTTAGAGCGACCGCAGGGAAGCAGGTGTCACCACCTAAGATACTAGCACATATCCCTCCCTCCTTTGCAACAGAGTTGCAATACACTCCAGAGCACAGGGACACCGTCCAAATGTTCCTTGGCGACAGGTCGAAGCAGTGCTGATTTGATCATTGGGCTGATCTGACTTACAATCTACAGCACCGCGGTAGAAGCTGGACGCATCAAAAAGCCATAACAGTCGCCTCCGAGGTTCTGAATTGGATCTTCTGTGGGCATGCGGAACGGGAATTCAAACCTTGGGAGGCTTGGTGCCGCTAGCATGTTTTGACGCAAGACTGGCCGTCTTCGGCTTCCTTGGGATGAGCTGGAACGCCAGGGTCCTTGCCCGTACCCACCAGCAGCGATCGTTACCTCCGCCCAAACATGAGACTTGCAAAACTCCTTGGCTGCCTCGCCGGAAGACGCCGGAAAGCATGCTTTTAACATGCTGTCCGAGTCCAGAACTCCAGGATTCAGGAGGACCTTGTGAGCTCTCTTCTCAATCACTGAAAAACAGCGATGCACTTGCCGATGTAGTTTGTCCAAGCGACCGTGATGCTGCTGGTTGACCGCGTCTGGACACGGGGAGTTGCAGTGGCGCACAGAATCGCGCAACTCATCTTCGAAGACCCCAGACCGTGAATCAGGCCTGTGGCTGATCCATGGGGAATGCACTCGTAGCACCTCTCTGAATGATGCGAAGGTCGTCCACGGACCTTCTTGCTTCTTTGCTTGCACACCGGCCAAGACAGAGTGAGCCCTCGCTGAGACTCCGGCACAAGAAGATGGCTGTAGCCGACAGGCAATTGAATCAGCACTGCTCCTCGGGTGATGCCATGCAAGAGACGGCGTGGCAACCGTTGAAGGTGCACCAGCCGCCCACTCCCGTTTTCTCCGGAAAGATTGCAATCGCCATCTCACACACGCCGTCCAGTCCGCTAGGTGCGGGAGCATCGCTGCAAGGACACATCCTGGCCTTCGTCCGAGGGCGTCGCGACGGAAAGCCTCTCTGGACCCACTGACAAGTGGACAAGGCAGGTCGCAAGCTCACCGACCGTCTTCAGAGCTTCCTGCATCACGTCATCGTGTCGTTAAGCGCTCGCAGTCAGACAAGCTTCGAGCAGAAGCATGCGTTCTCGGAGACCTCAATCCGATTCTGGCTGGACGATAAATCCTTCAATGATTTCAGGAATTAAAGGCGCTGCTCCCTGGCCATCAACCACCTCCGACTCAGGTAGAACGGCAGTGAGGGTGTACAGGTTTCCTCGGCAGCAGACGACGTGGACACGAGAGAAGATAAACTGGAATGCCGGCTGTAGCGGATCCGAGATGCGATTGCCTCGTCGGTCGGCAGGCCCCAGCGCACAGCTACTGAAGCTCCGTAGCTTTGCGCCCGACGGGAAGGTCGTGCGCCATTGATACTCCTGTCGCATGCACAGCACTTTACAGCACTGCGCTTTTCATGGGCATCCCCGGGTTTCACAGCGGTAGATAATCTGACACTTCTTCTGACTGTGTGCAGCTGGGCGACGTAGTACGTATTTCCGGCCCGCTCAACCTGTCAGAGCAGACATCGCCGACACACGTAAGCAGAAGAATGCAGGACTCCCCGTATGTGCCTTAATCGCATTCAGAGCTTCCGCTGTTTTCTTCGCTCCTTCTGGAGCAATGGTTTCTTTGAGCAGCCTGATCGTGTTAGCCACACACACACACTTCCGTCAGAAACGCTTTTCGTGGTGACATGCCAAACAGGGCATGCACTTGGCATGAGCATGGAAAACAGCCTCTCCAGCGATGCTTCAGGGTCGCCCAGGATCCTAAGCCACATTCCCAGGACCGCAATGCAACACACACGAGACACACGTGCAACATCGCAGGCACAAGCCTAAATGCAAAAGAATCGCACCACCAGCACGCTACACACAAGCCCCAGCGTGTGCTTTCTGCCGACCAGTCTCTCTGAAATTTGCTGAGGCTGCCCAGGTGCTTTGGGAGGCAAAGTTTGCTTTACCACCTGGGCCATGTACCCATCTTTGTTCTTCTTCACACAATCGTGTGATGGACCCTCTGGGCCAATCTCCACACTTCTCAGCGGAGGTGCAGGAACTTAGCAGACAATCATCCGGATGTGATGATAAGCCACCGATAGATTCTCTCGGCTTTTGAGGCCGCGGTCGCCTCCGCCTGCCGGCCCCCACGCGGCATCGGGCCCCACCTTGTGCCGAACTGCAAGTGTGAAGGCAGCTATCTCAGGCGAGGCAAATGCTTGCAGTGACGAGCTGCTCCCTGAGGCGCCGATCCTGGCCGAGCGCGGCGCGACATGCCTCAGAGCAAAGCCAGAGATCTGGAATCCCGTCGGGAAGTGAACATGAACACGCAAAGCCAAGCGGCCCAGCATATCATCAGAGCTCATCTGGCCCGCTTTCAACAGAGCCACACGCTGATCGAAGAGCCATGTACTTGGGAAGCGGGCTTGGTACTGCTCCTCGTAATAAGCCTCCCAGATATGTGGTCAGGAACAACTCCTGTCAAAAGACTTCGTTTCAATGCTTAACCATGCGCAAGGCACTTTGAAACCTTTTCAGGCACAGCACAAGGAACACCGAGATTTGAAGATTTAGCAGAACATGGTAAATTTCTTGGTCAAAGAGAGCAACGTACATAAATGGGACAGGATAAGCGCAAAACAGGGGAGAAGCAGCTGTGGCACCTAGCACCTAGCACAAACACATCCGAAGGTGACCCAATGTCCATGGTCTTTGAAGGCGACATGCAACTGACCTCATCTTTGGCTGACGGAAGCTTCGCAGGACGGGAGACCTGTTGACTTCTGAATCGATCCTCCAATCGATGCCACAGTCTTGCAGTCCACAGTAGCAGCTGGTCCGTTCAAGAGAACAGCAAGAACATGCAAGAACCGGCAGTGTTGGGTTCGCTCTCCATGGTGTGGCCCTTCGGAGGCTAAGTGTACTGTCGAGCACGGCCACTTACAGCACTGATGAGCTTCCGAAATAAATCAGCGTTCCGCACGCGCACGGCGGTGCAAACGCGACACCCTTCAACCCCAAACCTGCAACCTGCAAACCCCAAGCTTGTCAGGAAGCTCGATACAACGTAGTCGAGTGAGGGGTTGAATCGCGGTGCTCGAATCGCGCTTTCAGAGTGGGGATGCCAATGGCATCTTGTGTGCAATAGACCATGTCATCAGACGTCACGGGATGGGGTCTGATCACCGAGCAAAGCTCGGACGACATTGGAAAGGTGTCTCACACCGCAGCATCCACGCCGAGGAAATGGAGTCTCGAGCATGCTTTTGAACAAAAAAGACTTTGTCGTATGTTGCAGCTTCTGCTCCCCGCCTGTCTAACCTTCCGGAATTTCTCTTTCTTCACGTTGCGTTCCACCTATCTCGGTTACTGTAGGTTGAGTCATTGCGGTAGACAAAGGAAAACCGTTCATTCTCTTCTCTTCTCTTCTTCCCACATG